CCCCTGCCCCCAAGCTACAGCAGCTCCTGCCTATGGTCTGTCCAGACAGCAGCCCCTTTGCTGGATCCCAGAGCTCAGGGCAAAGCCTGGCCCGCCACATGGAGACCCCTGGCAGGTGGGTGCAGCTGTGAGTGAGAATGCTCCGCTGGGCCCCTCACCTCTCACCACTAGCTCCATGGAGTCGCTGTGATACCACCAGATTTCTGGTACTGATTTGCTGTGATACTGGCAATGGTAGCTCCCCACATCTCCTTGTGTCACTTCCTTGATGTGAAACTCAGCCACTTGCACAGCAGGGTCCTTGCTTTGCATTGGGGCTGAATTTCCCACTGTGTAGAGAGGGAGCTTCATGTTTCGGTACCAACTCTGACACTGGATGATCACATCTACTCCCAGGGCCACGTCCTAGCTGGGTGTCATAGAAGTGCCAGGTTTTGGGGTACAACTCTGCAGTAGGAGAAAAATGGTGGTGAGACAGAGACTCCAGCACTGCCATGCCACCATGGCTGTGCCAAAGACTGTCAGTGCTGGGGCAAAAAGAAGGGTCAGAGAGAGATTCCTCCAAAGGCTTTTCCCCAAGGCTCCGGATCTTCCCCTGTGCCTGGGCCCAAACTGACCCAGGCCCGAAACCTGGAATGTCCCAACCCACCCCCATAGGAAACCTTCATACTCCCAGCCAGCCCATCATCCCCATACCCACCCCTGCCACAGGTGATGAGACCCATGGGCCCATCTAGCCTTGTATCATACCAGTCCTTGTTCCAGATCAGACCCATGGGCCCTCCCTCAAGGCAGAGCCATCGTGACTAGACCATCCCAGCCCAGTGTCTGTCCAACCTGCTCTTGAAAACTTCCAAGGATGGAGATCCCAGCTTCTCCAGGCAGCCTGTCCCAATGCTTGACCACCCTCAGGGTCAGAAAGTTCCTCCTCATCTTCAACCTGAATCCCCCCTGCTGCAGCTCAAGGCCGTTGCTCCTTGTCTGGTCTGCTACAGCAGCAGAGAAAAGGCTGTTGCTCCTAGTCCTGTCCCCTATGGCTGCAGAGAAAAGCCCATCTCTATCCCCACTGTAATTTCCCTTCAGGTTTTTGAAGCCTGTGATCAAATCCCGCCTTAGCCTTCTCATCTCCAGATTGTATGATTTGAGAACTGGGCCTTTAGATAATGTGTCCAGCAGGTGGCTCTGCAGGCCCCTCCACCATCAGCCTGGACACTGAAGGGTTAAATGAAAGGCTGTGTGGGTGGAGAAAGGGAGGGGGTGTCCCACCCCAGGTACTGCATTGATTGACAGCTGGGAATGACATGATGCTGCCACCAGATGGCGCCCCACCCTCCCTGCGCTGGGGAGCAAAGGGTTAAATTAAAATCACCCCCTGGCTCTAAAATCAAGTGTAGTATCATGACTGCCTGAGAAATTACAGCATGCCAGCACCAGATGGCGCTGCCCTTCCCAACTTCCCCCCCCCACACCCTATAGCCCCGACCCCCCATCCAATCTCCCTGCCTCATAAGAAACCCCATGTCACCGCTGCTCCTGGTCTCACACATTCACCCTCCATCTCTGTCCATCTCATTCCCTCACCCCAAACACCTTTCCCCAGTCCTGTCCCCCCCTCCCACACCCTCCCATAACCCCATCACCATGGCCGACCCCAGCTGGTGAGCCAGGGGAACCCAGGCGACCCGGCGTCCGGTGATCCAGTGCCCAGGGCAGCAGTGAAGAGGGCGACCACCCCAGACAGAAGGCAGCTGTAGCTATGGGGACCCCCCAGGGCTACCAGGCATCGTGGTGGGTCTACCTGCTCCACCAGGCACCACGCACCAATTTCCAGTTCGAGGTGGTGAGAAACGACTTCGCCCCGCAGGACTGGGACTACCAGCAGGTGAGTGAACGCAAGCAGGTGGAGGAATAGAGGCAGGGAGACTGCTGGGGGCAAAGAGATGGACATGCAGAGAAGGAAAGGAAACAAGTGATGGAGAGAGAGAGAAAGAGATAGAGGGAGAAAAGAAGAGCTGAGGAGAGATGGGCAGGCAGAGTGAAAGGGCTGGATAGCAAGATATGGATAGGAGAAAGGAAGGGAAGGAGTGATGGCGAGAGGCAAAGAGGGATGGGGAAAAAGGATGGAATGTCGGAGAGGAGAAGAGTAAGAGCTGGACAGACAGCATGAAAGGAAAGAAAAAGATGGACAGATGGAAGGAGTGATGGAGAAACAGAAATGAGGAAGGAGATGGGGGAAAGGAGAGGATGTAGATAAAAAGCAGGGGGGTGGAGATGGACAGGAGGCAAATGGGAGAAGACTGCTGAACAGAGAGAGAAAGATGAAGGGGTGTGAGACAGCAGGCAGATGGAGGCTTGGAGGGGTTGGGATGGAGAGCTGGGGCGATGGGGTGAACTGGGGAAGGGAGTTCTGCCCAGCAGCGGAGGCCACGGAAGTCGCGCGCGCGCGCGTTCGTGTATGTGTGTGTGTTCTCATTCCACTGATATTTGATATCGAGCTGAGAGGATGGAGGTAGTTGTAGCCTGCTTCAAACCTTGAGGGGTGAGACACCACCCCGGGGGGGGATGCAAATACTGCCTCTCCAAGGGAAGTGTGTCCTGGTCAGTATGGGACCTGCCTGGCTGCCCTAGATCTGTCTTTCTGACCCAGATGCACACACTTATCCATCCAACCACCCACTCATCTCCACACACATGCCTCTCTCTCTCTATCCTCCCCCATACACACCCATCCACCCTGCTCCCATAACCATCTGTCTACCTATATATCCATCCATCCGCCCTCATACTCACCCATCTACCTATATGCCAACCAGCCACCCTTCGTATCCCCCTTCTCTCTATTGATGTTTCCACTCCCTTTTCAAACAAAACATCTCAGCCCATAATTTCAAACATCAGCTAAGAAGCTTTTTAAACTCTTACCCCACTTCAGGACTACCTGGTGTCTGTCAGCCCCGCTGCCCCTGGGTCCCATCCCTGCCGTCCATCTGGAAGCTATTGAGGGAATCTTACTACCTACACATTTATACCCAAACGGGAAAGTCCCCCTTCATCCCTCTCTGGGTCCTAGAAGGAAAACTTGGCCCACATTCTGAGCGTCACAATTTTTCAGTCTTTGGTATTAAGGTGAGATCCCACTTGCAACAAGTCCTAGATCTAAGGGTTTTAAAGCCAGATGGGACCATCCAGGTCACCTAATCTGACCTGCTGCAGAACTGGGCTGAAATGGGAGATTTCACACCAAGATCCCAGTGGGAGGCCCCAAAAAGTTCCTGGAGAAGAGGAGACAAAGTCTGCTTTCCCTGTGGAACTGTTGGAACCACAACTGAAATCCTATGGCCCCCGGATGTGTCATCTGCACTTGTGAAAAAGAGTCATGGAAATATTTGAGGGTAAAGATATTTTCATTCCACCTGGGACACACAATAAAATGGAAGCTAAAATGCAGATCTGGAGGAGGAAAGTGACCATTGAGTCTGGAGCTGGGGAAAAAAAAATTCAGCCAGTAATGGACTTTCCCTGAAAAGTATAATTTCCAAGGGAATGAAATAGAGGAGAAAAAAACAAGTGGAAGGATGAGAGAATTTTTAAAATGTCAGAATAGTTGATCATTTCTAAATTACACATTTTGAATTTTCATTTCCAAACTGACCTAGATTTAAATAAATAATATTTAAAGACATTAAATAACTAAAAAATGAAATGGTTGAATACAATGTTTCAGGTCAACCAGATACAAACTTTTTTTGATTTTTCTGTTTTGCTAAAATACCCCAACATTTCCACTTGGGCTTGACCTAAACTGATTTTTTTTCTGGGTTTTTTTTTTTTCAGTTCATCCACTGAACTGAAACTCCATTGTTCCCCCAGCTCTAATCTTTATCATCTGGACTGATCTGTGTCTCACACAGACAACAGGCGCTTTCTAGCTTTCATATCTCACTGACTGGTTCTAGCATTGCTATACCATAAAATTAGTTCCACAGCACAGAGGGTGGGACAGATGATGCCTCATCAACTCCCAAACTCCAGGAACATCCCTGCCTGACCAGCTGAGCAAATGGAACAAATTCCAGATGGATGGTTAACCTTTGAGACTCACCGCCACTGGATGGCACTGAGGCAAAAAGCAAGTCACAGAGAGAAATCAAAGGATCAGGCAGATACCCAGAATATTCAGAGTTAACATTAATGGTGATAAAATATGGAGAGAGAAATATTATACCCTCCTGCTACAGGGCATACCCCAATCTCCATTAGGAACCTGGGGATGGGAGACAATTTGTCTTCCATCTGCTCCCATCTTCTAAAGCATCTGAAAGCATCTGCAAATTTTTGCGTGCAAACAAGATTTCCGATAGGAGAAAGTTCCTTAATCCAGCACACAAGAACCTGAAGCAAGATCAGTCTCAGCAGGAAAGAAGAGGCACATTTTTTAATGGGGAAGGTCATCACTGACTCAAGTGAGCGATCTGAGATGGATTTGTCATTGCTCAGAGGCCTAGCTTGGTGGGTGAAAAGGGTATATTCTCCTACCAGGTTAGCCTGACTGAATTACCTTTCAACCTAAACCATAGAGCAGGTTTGATGTTCCTTAAAAAACGCATTTTAGGCCTTGTCCATAAAATAGAATTGTCTTCACTGCCTTTATCTCCCATCATGAATTTTCAGTCCATCCTCATTATAATGGACCCCGATGGAACCAGAAGGAGAATTCATGAAAAGAAGGTGTTCCCTATAATAGCATTAGTCAATTTGCTGCATCATAAGAATGAAAAAAAAAATCTGCTCCTGCCTTTGGGATTTTTAAAAGCAGAGGGGGTTGTGCTAAGCGTGGTGTCTTTTATGAGGCTTTATTGTATTTTTATGGGTATAAAATAGTATGTGAGTAAGGGTATAACGTTGCTTATACTGGTATAGCTACTACTATACAAGAAGGGAATGCATTAAACTGATATCATAGGTCCTCACAAGCTGATGTGGTTAAGGCCCACCACTTTCTGTAGCCAACAACACATAAGGGAATGATGATGAGACCAGCCACACACTCAACCACCTTTGACTTCCCAGCCCCAATGACTAGATGCCCATTTACAGCTGGGTCAATTGGGGGCAGCCTTTGGCACGAGCCCAACAGCAGGGCTAGCACACATGCCACTGAAGATGTAGCAAGACCCCTTCCCCACTCTACTACCACACTTGCTTAAACTGGCATATGGAGCCTTTGTGCCAGGAGAACACAGTGGGTTTGGGTTGAAATAATTATAAATGGTTAAAAAAAAATGACATCCCAGTTAGAACAAAATTCCACCCTGTCTGGGCTCAGGAGAAGGCATCTGAGTGAATCTTAATAGTCTGTGACAGCCAGCACGTCAGAACTGAAGGGTCCAATAGTTTTTCCTATGAAAATTGCCTGCAGATGAGGCCTCTCTGTATACCTGCAGTTGGTTGATTTATTGTCAAGTAGTCCAAGGCAGCAAGGCTTATACTGCAGCTCCGGAGTTACAGTTGGCTCATCTTCTTACCCCTCATAACTCCTTGCAGAAATAAATTCTCAAAACTATCTTTTCTTCAATATTGCATCGCATAAAGGACAACAAGAAGGTCATATACCAGTTGCCACCAAGCTGGAAATTTGCTACTCATCCCTCCAGGATATATTGCCTCATCTACTGCTCTAAAAGACCTTGCTGTCAGCATCTCTGTCCACACACAAAGTGAAGTAACTAATGCTGGATCTACACAAGGAGGGCTCTATTGGGAGAGAAACACTGGTGAAGCCCCCATAAATACAGATACTGCTAGACTAGAGTTGTGTACTCATCTACCCACCAGGGAAGTATGAATTTGCCACTGAAACTGTGCCTGTTTTTTGAGGCTTCTGCCAATGTAATATTGATGAAAAATCATACTTCACCATGCCTGGGGCAGCTGGGAGAAAGCTATAGTGACCGAAGGTATGGATTTAAAAAAAAAAAAGACTTATCAAGACCAAGAGGTGGTATGACTAGGGAGTTGTGGAGAGAAAATATTGAATATTAAAGTGCTCCAGCAGGGAAAAGGCAGAGCAAGGGCTCAAAGATGGAAATTAAAAAAATTTACAGGCAATAAACCATTAGAACAATCACCCCAGAGAAGTGCTGGTTTCGCCATAGCCTAGATGCTATCAGATTAAGACTGGTTGCCTTTTCATTGTGGAAAATACCTGATAATCCTAAAAAATAGAGCTGGAAGGGACCTCAGGAGGTCGTTTAGGTCAGCCCCTGGCTCAGGGCAGGGGCAGCCATCCGAGACATGTTTGTCTAACCCTGAATTCATCGAACTTCTGTTTAGTTAAACATAAGTTCTTGGCCTCCATCCAGAGGAAACAGGGTGAGATCTTATGGCTCATGTTACACCGAAGGTCAGACAGCATGAAGTAATGAGCACTCTGGCCGATCACATCTACATTCCATGAGTAACTCTACCTGGTTACAGAGATGACCAATGCCCGTATGCAGACTCTTGAGCAATGGAGATCTCTCCTCCATTTTGGTTTTGGTTTCTAAATGTCTTGGGAGCAAAGCACCACCACCACCTTTTCTCCCCAGCACCAAACTGCTGGCAACATGCATGACCTGACCACTGCTGAACACTGCAAAAACCCCCAGGTTGCCCTACTGTTAAAATGCCACTGATATCCAGGCATCACAGGCCAAATAAAATTTGTTGGGTGGGGGGGCAGATCCTACCTATGGGCCCTCAGTCACTGACCCTGGCATTAAAAGAACTTTGTATCAGTTCTTTGGCTGGAGCCACAGCCAATATACACCCACTGGGGACTTGGCCCCTTTGGCTCCAGAGGAGCATTTCTGATTTACATCCATCTTTTGTGGACAGCTTCCAGAAAACTCCATTCCCTCCCCCACTGTCCCAGCTCAGCCTCCAGGGATGAAGGATTAACACATGCGAATATGGAAAGTGGTTTTTCCAAAAATAAATAAATAAATAAATAAAAGCAAATTCACTGGGGATTAACACATCTCAGGAGTCTGAGTGGGATGACAAAACAGAAGGCTGCTAGCTTGCTTTCTTAAATCTGTCTATCCATCCTTCTTTCCCTTAAACAGCCCCTTCCCTTCACCTTCCCACCCCCACACACTCCCCCTACCTGTCTCCATCTCCCTCCCTAGCTATTCATCCAGCCCCACTCCTCTCTCTTTTCTGCTCTCATTGTAAATTAAATCCTTTTGAATTAAAGCTAGGGATATCCAGGCCCCACCTACAAGTGGGCCAAGGCAGATCTGGACAGTAGGTGCAGGGCACAGGCTCCTAGGTCCTGATTATAGGCAGTTTGTGACGTGGACTCATGTCCTGCTTAGGGCTGGTTTGAGGCCCCTGTTCAACTCTCTATCCTTCCCATGTTCACCCCTTTATACCTATCTCCTCCTCATCCATCCCCATGCTTGCCCCTCTACGTCCACCCATGCTCATCCTTCAGCCTCTTTTCATATCCCACCCACTCCATCTATGCATCCATCCATCCATCCTGCCTCCCTCTGTCTGTCCCTATCACATCCTCCCTTCTTTCCCTCTCTCTCATTTTAATTTACATTCCCTTCTGTCTTTACCAGCCCCTGGTGGGTGGAGTTCCTGTTCAGGATTCAGTTAACCTCCACCCCATTCCCCAGAAACAATGTCACCTGCTGCCCTGAGTACCTGGGAGAGGCACCTCAAGAAGAGATTTCCCAAGCATTCAGACCCCAGAATGTCCCAATTGTGGTTTGGGAAGTCTGACCCTACCTGCAGGCCTCCACTTCCAGTGTGCAGGTGCTAGGCATGGGGGAGTTGGACCCCATGTGCAGGCTCCAGACACTGGGGTAGGTGCCAGCTGCTGGCACCAAAACATCGGGGCCCTGCTCTGCGCTGTAGACATGGGATCATCCAGGCCCTGTCAGTACATGCTGGGCATGGGGGGTGTCCCTGACAGTGCCAAGCCCCGCTTCCCCCGTTGATGGGCAGTACATGAGATGGGCTGGTCTGAGCCCTGATAAACTTGTTGCATAAAGAGGCCACCAAACGAGAAAGGCAAATTGATGGACATAGCCAGAGCTTGGGGGATGGAGGGGTTAGCTACTGTCACAATCAAGGGCATGCACTAAACAGATCAATGATGCCAGGTCGCAGGGGCCTGGCAGAGTCCTCGGAACAGCTGGAGTGGGGCAAGGCAACTGGACCAAGCATAACTTCTCCCCAGAAGGGCTTTAATTCAACTCATTCCCCTATCGTTAATTGTGGCTTCCTTCCTAATTAGACCCTTGGAATAATTCTCATGTGTGGAGAGGTAACTCTTGACAAATTGGGGCTGGGGCGGGGGCCCATCCCTTCCAGGGGGTACTGACTCTGCTCTGGCCCCAGTTCCCTGGAACCCATTAGGACTTCCCTATCAAGTGTCCTGGGTGTACTAGATGGTGTTGCCAGTCCCCCACATCACCTCTTCCCTGCCCTTTCCTTTGGCCCCAACCCGCAACAAAGCTCCCAGGGAGCCCGAGGCCCTATCCATACTTAGGAGGGCACTGTGGGACAGAGGGAGCGCCATGGCAGAGCTGGGTTGTAGGAGGGTTGTATCAGGGTGAATGGGGGTGTGGGGTGTGCATGGTGCCAGATTGGATTTGCGGGGGGGGGGCGGTGTGGAAGAGAGATAGAGTGTCTGTCTGTCTGTAGCTACATGCCGTAGCCATGCATGGTGTGAAGGACTGTATGTGACAGTGTGGTTGTCCTGTAGAGCTGTAGAGGTTCTTAATAACTCTATGTGGGTGTGGGGGGGGAGGGGTGTATGGTGAGGGGCTGTGTTTTGGGGGCTGTATAGTGGAGCCCTCACCTCTGGGACTCCCTGACTGCTCTTCATAGCAGGTGTCAGGGTAGTCTGGGGTGGCCACAATCATTTGAGGACCTGCAGCAGTCTGCCACACCCAGGCAAGGGCTGGGGGCCAGGTCTGGAGTGGGACAGGGCCAGGGTGGAAGCCAGGCTTTCTAGCAACTCCCTTTGCAGTGAGGACAATTGAGCAGAGCATTTGATGGGCAGCAATGTAGGTCAGCCTCAGCCTCCAGCACCAGCCCAGCCACACTGTCTGGTTTGCTTGGGGTGCCGGGTAGATGGATGGCTGGATGAACAAATAGTAGAGATGGCACATGCAGCCACACCCTGGCACCCTACGCCCTGCTCCTGCACACACCCCTGCACTAGCCCATCTCCATACACACCCCTCCATCTCTTCATATATACATACATCCCTCTCTCTCTCTGTTCTCAGTCATTGCTCTTATCTGTCTATTTGTCTGTATGCATCTGTACACAGCCCTTTATCTGTCTGTCTGTCTTTCCATTTGTCCATCTAGCTGTCAGGGTAGCTAGAATAGATAGAGGTGTATTTATAAAGATGGTCAGAGGGGTGTCTTGGGCTAAACAGATGGATGGAAAGATGGAAGGGTAAAAGTGGGGGGTGAATATGGGGGCAAAGAAAGGATGCATGAATAAGGTGCGGGGGTTGGATGGATGGTGGCATACAGGAAGGGAGAGCAGGAGCAATGGGAGGGGTCTAGGGAGTGGGGGAATGAATGGAAGGAAGGATGTGTGGGGAATTAGAGGGCTGGATCGATGGGGGTTGGGATAAGGAGATGGATGAATGGAAGGGTGTGTGTGAAGATGAAGGGATGGATGGAGGTATGGGGGTGTTGAATGGATGGGGGGGTGTATGTGGCTGAAGGGGGACCTTGTGGTGAAATTTTCCACCTGCCAGACAGCCCACCTGGCCCAGCACAGCCACAAACTGTGACTAATCAAGTCGCCCACCCCAGTCCTCCCCCTGCTCCCACGCTCTGACAGCTGCTGCAGATGCGTGCCTGGGGCAGCCAGTGCAGGAGGGAGGTTTAACTGTCTGAGCCTGGAGCAAATTGTGGGATTGCCTCTAATCTCCTTGTCTATTTGCTGCAGAGACAAGGAGAGAGAAGGAGCAGGAAGCACCCCAAAGTGGGGTGCCCCCACTACAGCCCTGATCCACACTCCCTGGGCTCAGGAGGCAGCCTCAGCACAGGGTATCCAGCCATGACCCTTCATCTGCCCAGAAGAACAGGATAGAGCCCAGGCTTCCCTACTCAGCCCTTGAGACCCCAGCCCTGTCCACAGACCCCAGGAATCCTGGAGCAGGCTGGCAGGGGAGCTGTGTGGATGGAAGGAGAGGATCCAATAGGCGGGGACATGCAGAGGCACTGGGTAGATAGGGCACAGCCAGAGGCAGGCGGGGGGACTGGGGCATCTGTCCATCTTTTGATGCCTGCCTGTTCATCTGTCCCACAGGCCCTTCTGTTCCTGGCTAGCACCGCTGGGCTCTGCCTGGCCGTCAGCCTGGTCCTCATCTGCATCTACCTGATCCGGTTTTGCTGCTGCGACCCAGAGGAGGAGGATGAGCCCAAGGCGCAGAGGGTTTGCTGTGTCACCTGGAGCTGTGTAGCAGCTGTCATCGTCTGCTGGTAGGGAACAGGGCAGGGGTGGGGGGAACCACCCACATGAACCTAGGGCTGGATCCAATCTGGCACCCTCTGGAGGGAGAGGGCCTTTTCTCCTTCCCATCCCCTGCCCCAGCCAGTGCCCCCAGCCCAGGGCTGGATCAAGGCCTGGGGTTGACATCCTGTAGGCCCTTCCCACTCTTCTTGTTCTCAGGCTCAATGGGAGGTCCGTCCCTCCTTCCCCACCCCCTCCTCCTCCATTTCGCTTGTCCCCTCCCATTGCCCCCACCGCAGCACCAGCCCCCTTAGCTGCATCAAAGTCCCAATTGTCTCCCCTTTATCTGGCACAGGGTGTTTGTGCCCCCCCTCCCCCACATTTCCCTCCCCCCACCACAGGCCTGTGACCACAAAGAGCCCCTTGTTCCCCTTGGTAGAATAGGAAACTCTGTTGCTTTTCTCTCCTCTCCTGGGCCCAGCCATGGTTTCTCCAGCTCCTTTGTCTGTTATTCCAGCTCCACCTCCCCAATCCCAGCCCCCCTCCAACACTGCTCTTCAGCCTCCCCTGCCCCAGCTTTGCTGCTACACAGGGAGGGGAAGGAAGCCATTCCCAAACACTGTCATGGCAGAAGGCCAAGTTCATGGATACAAACTCTGTTCCCCTCTCAAAACCCAGGAGTCCTGTTTCCCAGCCTCCTTCACTCTGACCCACTAAACCCAATTGCCTTCCCAAAACAGGGATAGAGCAGGAGTCCTGGTTCCCCGAGCTCTTGCATTAACCCACTACACTACATTTCCTCTGGGGCAGGGGCATGGCCTCTACCTGGGATCTCTTGAGCATATATTAACAACTTTTTACAGCAGCAGGATGCTGCCTACCATGGTCCCTGTGGCAGGATGGGGTGTGATGTGTTCGGTTGTGTGAGGGGTGATGGTAGCTTTGCTAAGTGGCTGGACAATGGATTTGTATAGGTGGTTTGCATAGGAAGGGTCAGGGTCCTGCCTCAGGCAGGGGGTTGAACTCAATGACCTCTGAAGATCCCTTTCAGCCAGACTTCTCTATGATTCTATGCAAAAGCTGGGATAGAGCCCAGGAGTCCTAGCTCCTAGCCTTGATTCTAACCACTAAACCCCACTCCCTTTGCTCTGCCGTGTCTCACATAGGACTGCAGTGTGCAGGTTGAAGCCATCAACTTCCTTCCCCCCCCCACCATCTTCCTCCTTCCCAGCCAGATGGGTCACCCACCCACCCATCCCCTCCCCTCCCCATCCCACCCCACTCTGCCAAGGTCACTCCAGGTCATTCCCAGCCCCTCTGAGAACCCGGGAGCTGAAGAAGAGCCCCTTTGAGTGCCAGACTGCAGGGCATTCAGGGAGCGAACAATGAGCTCTCTGTGCCGCTGTCCCTGCTGCACGGCTGCCTCACAGTGACATTCCCTCTCGCTAGGAGACCAGAGGAATGACAGCTCCCACCCCACCTGCACACACTGGACAGCCTGCTCCCCCCCACACCGCCCCTAGTCTCACCACACAAGAGCATCATGGCAGGGGCTGCTTTGGCTCCCAAGTCATCACAGGGTCACTCCTAGGTTATTATAAAGCTATTCAGCTTTTCCTGGCTGCTAGCTGCTGAGATGTCCCTTAATCTGTGGGGAACGGACCCATGCAATTCTTCTCCTTGCCAGCAGGCTCTCACTGCTGAGTTTGCTGCCCCTATGGTATAGAGGTTTCTGAGCCCTCAGGGGCAGTATTTAGGCCCCTACCTCCCCTGGGATGGGCAGCCGAGCGCATCGGAGGGCCTGCAGTTACCTGTCGGCTTCATGGTTGCTACATGGAATGGGTTGGGTACCACGGTATTACGCCCCATACAGAAGCAGCCTCCGCTAAAAGACACTGGTCCCTCCCAGTGTTGGGATGCTGGTTAGCTGCAACTCTGAGAGGGGAGTGGAACTGGGTTAGAACAAGGGAGGCTGGGAGCCAGGACGCCTGGGTTGCATCTCAGCTCTGGGGGGAGAATGGAGGAACAGGGAGGGAGGAGGACTCCACCGGCAACTGGCTCCGAGGAAAGGGGCTGTTAATTGCATCTCACCACCCTCCCTCTGTGCTCCTCTCTCCCCCGACTCTGGGAACGAATGGCCTCCCCTGAAAAGAAGGGGCCTCATTAGCATGACAATGTGGCTGCCTTCCTTGGGAAGGAGGAGGTTGCCATAGGAATGGGCTTGGGTGAGGAAGGGGCTTCAGATGCAAACAGTCAGGTGGGGGGTCCCAGCACTTCCCGGAGAGCAGGATGGGATGGAGCCTGGAGGTGGAGGGATGGGTGGATGTGACACATGAGCATGGATGGAAGAGGTGGATGAAGGAGTCTATGCAGGGAGGAAGGGAGTGATGGATGGAGGGAGGGAGCCGTGGGGAGGGGCAGATGGATGGATGGATAATGGAGGGGAGCACATGGAAAGGGGTAGGTGGATGCAGTAGCTGTGTGGAGATAGATGGTGGGTCCATGTGAAGATGGACAGATGGGCAGACGGCTGGAGGGTCCACACGAAGGCTGCTGCCTCTGGGACGGCAGGAGTTAATCCTGCCATGCTCTGCGCATGTCTCTCCCTATCTGCAGCAGGGCTGTAATTAACCACCCAGGAGGTGCCTTAATTGCTGTGCAGAGAGGTAATTTGGTGGGCGGCAGGCCTGGCTATCAGGAGCCAGCTGCTTCCTGTAGGTGGGGGAGCTGTTCCAGCAACACCCACCAGCACATCCGGGGTGGCAAGGAGGGGCTGAGACACTGGGCTAGATGGTCCCAGGGGCCTGACCTACAGAACAGGGAAGGGGTGGGATGCTAGGCTTAGGGTCACCCACTGTACTCCCCCCTCCCCCTGGCATATCTCCCTGTCCCTGTCCAGCTGTGGTAAGGAGCTTATGGGGTCCTTTGTTCATCTCCATTCAATCCCTCTCTCTGCCTTCTCTTGCCTACTTTTGTTCCTGCCCCCAGTAACAATTCCCACCCCCAAAATATCCTGCACTAACACGCACCCCAGACTGGATCCCTCAGAACTGGGATGGGGTTCCCTCTCTATGCCCCCTCAAGAGTGGAGGCTTTGGGAGGGGGCTGGAGTGAATGCCCTGGGTCGGAGGGTAGAACTTTATGTGACCCATGGTGGGATGAGGTGGAGCTGAGGTTGAGGGCCCAGGTCTCTTCCCCCCTTGAGAGGCTCATGTCCCCTTCTTGCCCCTGCCCACAAAGTGCAGGGATCGGGATCGGCTTCTATGGGAACAGCGAAGCCAACGATGGGGCGAACCAGGCCACGTACGCACTGCTCAACGCGAACCACACACTACGTGCCATCGACACGCTGGTGAGACCCTGCCACACCCCACAGCCCCCCATGTCATGGGGGGGAGCCCCACCATGCCAGCCACACACCATGTGACCTCAGTGCCCCACTGCACCTCTGCAGTGCCTCACAGTGTCTTATTTTACCTCTGCTGCCCTCATGTTCCCACCGTCCCTCCATCACCCAGGGGAACTCCTCTCATTGCTAGCCACTGTCTACCCACCATTGATATCCAGTGTGGCCCCCAGCATCCCATGGCTGTCATGACCCCACAAGCATGCTCATGGTGCCCGACGGCCCTCATAGTGCCCTGGCACCCCACTGCCAGCAGAGAGCTGCCCCCAGGGAGACTGATGGCTTAGTGAGCTTTTCACAGCTCCCTGCAGACCTTATGGGTCCCCACAGCACCCGCCAACCCCCCTATGGATCCCACACTCCTCCGTGGCCTCTCACAGCCCCCCAGAGTCTCTACTCCACTCCTTGGGGGCCCCATGGACTCCCACAGCCCCAAACCCCTGTGCACCCCCCACCCCATGTCCTGCAGCCCAGGGACAGTCCACTCCCTACCCAGCCTCTGGCATCATGCAGGGAGCCACCCATCCCGTCCCAGCCATGCCTGTCCCCACATGCTGCCAAAGGAGCACAGGGCAGAAGGAGGAGGCACTACAAATGCATGTATGGAAGATATATTAGTGGGGGTGCACATATGTATGGGTTGCATGCTGTGGCATGTACCCCAACCCACCTGCATGTGACAGGCACATCAGTGACCTGCAGCGCAGCTCACCCACCTGTGGGAGGCAAGCTGCTGACACACAGTAGTGCTCATGCATGTCAGTGGCATGCATCTTTCACCTCCACCCCACCAGGTCTGGCAGACAGTGGGGCTGTTGTCAGCGGCTGTGCGGGGGGACCTAACACGGCTGGAGGAGATGCTGGCTCCGCGCACTGAGCTCCTGGCCGTGGTGAGGAACACACGACGCCAGGCTGAGGCCGTGGCCCACACCCTGGGGGGTCTCCCCTTCTGGGGGGATGCAGGGAGCAACCCCAGCCAGCTGGCCGAGTACCTCACCTTCCTGGAAGAGTACAGGTCAGCAGGGACAAGGCAGTAGGCAGCTAGGGTGTGAAAGGACTGATGGGCTGGGAGAAGAGAAGGCAGGCAGCTGGAGGAGGGAGAGGTACAGAGGGGAGACAGTGGGAAGGAAGATGTGGGACAGGGCCAGGGGGTGGCATGGGGGACTGTCATGGTCATAAGGAGGGCTCAGCTCCCCCATGTCTCTCTGCCCCTCAAGGTGGCTGACAGTGGGGGTCCCCAGCTCACCCTGTGTCTTTTTCTCTTTCTGTCTCTGTCCCCTGCCCAGATGGCTGGCATATATCCTGCTGCTGCTTCTGGACCTGGGCATCTGCCTCTTCACCCTGCTGGGCCTGGCCAAGCAGATCAAGTGGCTGGTGATCGTGTGCGTGGGTGCAGGGCCAGAGCAGGGACATCTTGTTGCGGGGGTGGAGCTGCTTTGTGGAGGGGAACAACTGACTCTGCGGGGAAGGGGCAGAACCTTCGTTCCCAGATCCCAGAGCGGTGGGTGTGGCGGCCCACATGCTGCTGGGTGCTGAGTTTCATCTCCCCTGAAAAAGGACCACATCACACCTCCAAGGGCCACTTGGTTAGGACAGTCAATGATAGACAACTATCAGAGCTGGGTGAGCAGGGGTGCACCAGGACTCCTGGGCTCTATCCCAGCTCTGAGATAAAGAGTGAGATCTGATGCTTAGCATGGGGTGGGACCTCCCACCCCTGGGGTGTGTGGGGGGTGGTCAGGCCTTTCATAAGGGCTGACCCCAGCATCTCTTCTCTTCCCTCAGAATGACTGTGATGAGTTTCCTGGTTCTCCTCCTGAGCTGGGGATCCATGGGGCTGGAGACGGCAGCAGCCGTGGTGAGTAGCAGCATGGGGAGTGGGTCAGAGGGTCTCAGCCCCCTCTGCTCAGCCAGGCTGCAGCAGCTGTGGGTCAGGAGTTGGGGCACTTGGGGACATGCAAGGGGCTGTGGATCAAGAGTGAGAGGCACTGGTAGGGCTGGAGGGGCTGTGGGTCAGGAGCGAGGGGCACCAGCAGGCCTGGGAGTGTCTGTCCCCCTCCACACACTCCATGCTCTCTCAGGCAAGATAATTTAATGGTTCCCTTCCAGGCTGGAATCTGGGTTTGTTCCTGTCACCTTTAATTAGCAGGGAAGGAACAAACTGGGGAGAGCTAATAATGGGGGGCCTGTCTGTCTCCCTGCTACCAAAATTAACTCTTCCTTATCTGCTCCCTCCAGGGATGACACTGTTATTCCCAGTGGCCCTCATTCTCATTATGTCTTGGCTGGGTTGACTGTTGTATTGCTAAGAGGTCAGACAATGGGTTTGTACAGGATGGTTAGGACAGAGCTGATCCTGCTTCAGGCAGGGGATTGGAGTTGCTCTCTAGGGTCCCTTCCAGCCCACTCTGTGATTCTATGACTCTTGGCCCCCTGCCAGCCCAGCCCTGGCCCCTCTCTATACTCAGCCTAGTCTTTAATGTGTCCCTTCACCCGTCACACCAAAGACTCGCATGAATTTCTGCTCCATCCCTGCCTGCAGGGACTCAGCGACTTCTGTTCCGATCCTGATGGCTACGTCATAAACTCAACCCAGGCCCATACTGAACTCAACCCAGGTAGGAATCCTGTGTGGGGCCGTGTGGCTGATCTGGGGAAGGATGGGTGGGGTGTGCTAGGCTGGATGGGCCTCTGGGGCTGATCTCAGGGAGATACTGTGGTTGATGGGCCAATTATTAACCTCTTTTTCCGCCTCCCATGGCAGAAATCCTGCAGTATTACCTCATCTGCAGCCAGGATGTCCCCAATCCCTTCCAGCAAGTAAGTACCCACTGATTCATCTGTGAATCAAACTGTCTGGGCCTCTACCCAGTGAGTGGGAGGGGACCCAGAAAGCATCTCAGGGAGGTTGGAATAGATCACGGACTCCAGCTGTCCCTACTTCCCCCTTCAACTTGTTCCAGGGGAGGGCAAGGTGCCCAGGACAGGGCTGCAGTTCAGGAGCAAGAGGCACTGGCAGAGATGTGGGGGAGGGGGAATCGTTTTAATCCACTCTCTCTAGCTGAACTTGCCCTCCACACAGTCAAGCTGGTGCTGCCGCTATTTGCCTGGTGGGCAAATATGCCAGGAACAGGATTGGAACCCATGGCCAAGCTGCTCTAGTCCTTCCCCCACAAAGATAACCAGGAGCCAGGACAGGATCTGTGGATGCATGGCATCTCACACTGCTCCTCAGGCCTCCACTAACTAGAGGGAGACAAATGTTACTGTGCAGCCACTTCACTCCCCTTCAGCCTTTTACCCACAATCCTCTCTGTTACCCACAATGCCGTTCTGCTCTGACAACTCCCCCCCCCACCATTCCACAGAGGTTGACCCTGTCTCAGCGGGCGCTGTCCAACATCCACTCCCAGCTCCACGGCCTGGAGAGAGAGGCTGTCCCACAATTCCCTGGACCTGAGGTCAGTGTGAGCAGGGAGCAGGTTCTGCTGGGATAGGGCATGGGAGGCAGGGAGCCCAGATGCCTGGGTTCCCCCCAGTGCTGATGACCGCCTCCACCTCTCTGTTCCAGAGGACCCTGCTCTCGCTCCGGGGGACGCTGAACACCACAGAGGGCAACTTCCACCACCTGGTCGCCCTCCTCAACTGCAGGGGGCTGCACAAGGTGAGGCCACCTCCTTCCCTGTCCCCTTGAGGTTCCCTGTTCTCCCAGGGGAGCCCTCCCCACCCCAAGCTATTGCCATCCCCTCCTCTCCCTTCCTGGGACCCTCAAACCCCACTGGTCACAGCAGTCCCCGTCCTCCTACCAGGATCTTCAGCCCAGTCCACACCACCTGAGCACTGGCTGCTCCCTCCAGCCCCTTCTACGCCCCTGGCCTGGGCACTGGCCACCCCGTCTCCCCTGTGCCTGCTCTCTACTGACATGGCTGTCTCCCCATAGGACTACGTAGACGTGCTGAAGGGACTGTGCCAGGATGGCCTGGAAGGGCTGCTCTTCCTGCTGCTCTTCTCCCTGCTCTCAGCATTGGCCTTCACCACAGCTGTCTGCAGCTTGCCCCGGGCCTGGGCACGCTTCCAGAGCCGGTGAGTGGATGCCTGCAGCTTGGGTAGGCAAGCAGGGACATCACCTGGGGGGCCAGTGTCTGCTCCAGGGGACAGGAGTCTGGGAGTCAGAGGGTCCAGATTAGGCTTAGGTGAAGTGTCTGGGGGCCAGGGAGAGGCAGGGACATCATCTGGGGACCAGGTGGGAGCCTAGGCCTGGTGTGGAGGTGGGGGCATGTCTAGGCATCAGGGAGTCCCAGCCAAGTTTGTGGGGAGTATCTGGGGGTCAGAGTCCAGAGAGAGGCAGGGGCCCAGGCCTGGTATGCAGTGTGGGGGTCTAGGTGTCAGAGGGTCCAGGCCAGAGCTGAGGGGACAGCAGACCTGTGTGGCTGCCTCCTGCCAACCATCATCTCTCTCTTCTGCTCTCACTGCCCTGGTGCCACAGGGACTCGGACTACGATGACATGGAGGATGACGACCCCTTCAGCCCCCAGGCACGTAGACCGCCGCCCCTGCCCCGCTACCATAGCCCCAGCGGGTGCCGCACCGCCCCGCCCATATCCAACGCCCCCGTCTCACAGTACATGTGAGTAGCCACTGGCCACGCTGGAGCTCCCTTCCATGCCCCTGTCCTGCTCCCCGTTGTTTGCTAGCGTGAGCCATGGGCCAAGGAGCTTGCACAGCCCAAGCTGAGGCCAGGGTAAGAGGCCAGCAAAAGGCAAGACCCTGGGGAGGGCCTCTCTGGGTCCACCTGTCTGTCCAGCCCCCCTGCAAAATGCATGCATGTCCATCCACCCATTCAGTCCTCCTTCCTGCCCTGGGTCAGAGCAATGTGCCAGTCTAGCCTGGCATTCCAGATACTGCCCCTGTCCAGATCTATGTACCCCTCTATCCCAGCATCCTGGCTGCTGTCCTGTATCATGGCAATGGGCCCCTCTGGCCAGGCATCCCAGCTGGCACTTCCAGTCGCAGCAATAGGTCCATCCAGCCTGAAGTCCTGTCTCTGGCAGCAAAGGAGCAATCTCAGCTGCTGTCAAAGGAAAGCCAGGTTTCCCCAGAAGCAACTCTTCCCACCTCACCCCATGGCAGCTTTGTGCCCTCTCCCCTCCCTGATCCCATCCCCATTTGTATGTTGCCCCCTGCCAGCTAGTCATGCATCTCTCCAAATGGCAATCCTAAAGATCCACCCCCAACTCCCCCTGCCCCTCCCCACCCCCCAGGACCAAGTGCTTTCAGCCCAGCCTCAGGACAGGGAAACCAGCTCAGAAGCTCACCACAGGCATGGTGCAGAAACCACATGACAGACTTGAAAGAAATAAGCCCAAGTTTGCTGAGAAGCCAAAAAGCCACAAGATCGACTCCGAAGTGGAGAGCTGTGGTAAAAACACATCTACAGAACAGGGCCTGTCCCCTCCAGCAGGGGTAAACTCACTCGCACACTCTCACTCACACACACGGCCCCCAACGCACCCCACCCCAAAGGCAGCTGCATCTCAGCACCAGACAAGTGGTGGGTCCATGTATACATGGCCACATGAACACACACGCACAATCCATCCATGCGTACACTTGCATCATCCATCCCTAGCACCCCCGACCACACACACACCATCTATCCTCAACACACATACACGTATGCACACCCCTTCATCCATCCCCAATACACACACACACACACCCCCAGTGCTACAAAAAGCTCAATATAGGGGTAAAAACAATCACTGTGAAGATTTGCTTCAATAAACCTTAAACCCATAAAATCATCACCATGGTGTTACAAAGCCTGCAGAGACCCTTGCATGTCACCGTGAGCTGTGAGCCTCTCTCAGCCAGCAGCTTTGTCACCACCCAGAATTCCATGACTCCAACAGCTGGTGCTTTATGGGCATGGGCAGTGGGTGGGAAAGACTACCATCTTTTCCCCAAATGACCACCATCAGTCCTGGGAATTTATTACTGGTGTCTGTATAATAACGCCTATTAATTCACCCACCTCCCACCTCCACTGGACAAAGCCCAGGTGGCAAAAGGACCCAGGAGATGGGGATCTCCTTGGGAGGGGAATCTGAGGGCACCCTGTGGGGTATTGAGGGCAAGGGAGAAGTTTATGCATGCCCTAGCCCCTGTCTCGCTGTCATTTGCAGGAGTCAAAGCGCTTTGTTCAGTGGCAGTCGTCGATATGAGAACATGCCCCTCATTGACCGGCGCTCCCCGCCCCCCTCGGTAAGTCCCTGTCGCCGTCATGCCCCCAGGGTGAAGTGGTCAGGATCATCCCCCTCTGACCTGTTCCCTCTCCCTGGGTTTAGGGGGCAAGGTTAGAATTGTCCCATCAATTTAATGCCCATATTTTTCTCTCCCCAGTACTCACCGAGCATGCGGGCATCCTACGCTGGTGCTGCCCATGAAGAACCGGACATACAGTACCGAACCGAATTCCTGACCTAGATCCTGACCCCTGGATCCCACCCCTCCCCACCCCGACTAACACATGGACTAGCTTCTGCCCTGCCAGCTCTGCTGGGCCTGACAGACCCCAAACTGACCCACTGGGGGCCATGGGGGGGGAGGACAAGGAGAGCCTGGGACTGCCCCTCCCCCATTGCCATGTCTGTCTGTCCGTTCAGCTGGCCAAGCACCTTTGGGGGGGAATTGGGGGAGGGGGCAGCTAATGAAGGGATGGAAGGAAAGAAAGGGTGAATGGGAGAGGCTGAAAGGGTGGGTGGGTGGGTGAATGAATGGATGAGTGTGGAAGAGAAAGACAAATTAAATATCCCTGATGAAGTCAGTGAGAGAAACTGCACAGGGGAGAAGGAGTAAGAGCGTGTTCAGAGGAACAAAGAAAGAAAGATTAGAGGGATAAACATGACTACATAGGAGAGGGATAACTGGAGGAGAGCAAGTGTGGAATAACAGAATGGATGAGGGGAAGAGGGAATGAATGAATGAATGAAACGGATGGAGTGGCTGAAGAAAGCGATAGGGAAATAATGAGAAGATGAAAGAATGAATGATGGAATGAATGGGGAAAAGACTGAAAAAATGACAAGAATAAAAGCCTAAGGCAACACAAGAAAAAAAGGGATGAATGTAAAAATTGAGCAAAAGGAAGAATGTGGAAGAACCAGAAATGAATGAGAGCAAAAGAATGGGGAAATGAGTGAATGAGAGAGGAGCTAAGTGGGGGAGAACATGAATGAGGAGAAATGAACAAGTGAAAGAGAATTCGCAAGCGTGAAAAAGAGTGAACGGGAAAGAAAACCTGAAGAAGGGCTCAAAGCAGAGACAAGGAGGTGACAAGACAGAGCACAGGGCTGGGAGGGAGCTGAGCAAGACAGGCTGGGGGCCGGGCCGGGCCAGGCCTGTGGCCCTAGCCTATTAACTGGGACCCCAAGCCCCGCAGCCAGGCAGCTGTTGCCTGCAATGCAACAGCTCCCCTGGGCTGTAGAGCAGGGAGAGGAGGGAGGAGATTAATGTGAGCCCAGGAGATGCCCCCACCTGCCTGCCCGCAGTCCTAATTAGAGCCTTGGCCACTAACGAGCACTTCCTCAACCAGATGGAGAAATAAAAGAGAAATGTTCTTTTAAATGGAGTTGCTGTGGTGCATTCAGTCCTTTCCAGGGTGGATGTGGGGAGACTGGCCCCATCCAGCCCCAAAGCACAAGACTGGCTGGTTTACAGGGTGGGGAAGGGGAAGGGGAAGGGGAAGGGGCCTTGCCATGTTCCAGTGGCTGCATGACTGTGGCTTTAGGCCACACCAGTGGCAAGCAATGTTCAATCTTATGGGAGATGCTCCAACAAATCTGCTGAGATGGGTGCAATGCATCTTCCCCCAGTTCAGTCACCATGGTGGTTTTCCCAGCAACAGGAGATAACCACTGGCATGGGTTAGTACCCAGGTAGAGGTAGTGTATAGTTATCCTCCCCAGGTTTGTTTCCAGTGGGAAGATCTAGGCTTTACACCCGCTTTACTGTATGGGGAGACTCCTCCTTAGCTTGCTTTTGCAGCCATATGGCTGAGGGCAAGCAAAACCTGGGGGTATCCAAACCTCCAAGCCTCTGGGCTTGGGCCTGCAGGTAGGACACCTACCAAATGATTTGGAAACATCTGAACCTGAGGTGGGGGTACAGGATGTTTGCTAATAGTGTAGTGCGCAGGTTTGTTATTACCCTGAAATAAAATAGTTTTCTGATAAGCATACTGTTAGGTTTACAATAATTTAGATTATTAAGAAGTATTAGCTTTACAGCTGAATACAAGGCATGACCTGTGGCCTAGCAATACAGCTGACCACAAGGCAGATTGATAGCTAAGCCTTTGCTTGTGTCAAGTAATCATTTTAACTGTATTAAGCATTTTCTGAGTTAAAAGCAGCAAGTATCTCTGTGTCTGTGTGCTGAAAAATCAGCTACAGCAAAAAGTAAGATAAGACAGAGAAACCATTGTTCTGGGTGCACTGGTTGTGTCCTTAAAAAGTATCTACTACTGTGTAAGGTTTTGCTAACATATTATAATGTTACTGTTACTTAACTTTTAGCTTTTAAAAAAGTGCTAGTTCAGCTTAATAAAAATATGCTGTTACAAAGATTTAAAAAGCACCGCCCAAGTATTGCTTTTTTTGTTAACCATGAAGTCTTGCCTTGTTATAATAAGTATAAAAGATCACCTCACCCTTGAGGGGGGCCATTTTGCCTTTTGCTGGCTTTATGGTCTTTGCTCGAGCAAATAAACAGCTGTCTTTCTTTACCTGCGTTGTCTGTCAATCAAATTACAGCTAGACAACGAACCTTAGGGAGGTTTCTCCCACCACAATAGTACAGCCATATATGGTTCTTGAATGATTCACAGATTTGGAATTGATTTGGCTGATTGGACTTGGGACACAAAAAGTTTTTCCTTAAAAAAAAAAAAAAAAAAAAAAAAAAAGTTCAGGCATCGAGGGTAGATAGTCCCATAACAGAGGCATCTCAGTGCCCAGGTCTCTGTACACAGCCCCTCCCCTAATGCACTGAACCAGAGGCAGCTGCATTTCTGCACTGGGCACAGCCCCCCGCAACACAACACACCCCAGAAGCAGCTGCATCTCAGGACTAGGCAAGAAGTGGACCCACATATATGCTGCCCTCACTATGCCCCATTCCAGAGACAGCTGCATCTCGGTGCCAGGCAAGTTCTGGGTGCACTGGGCCCAACCCCTGGCCCCAGTGCACCCCACCTAGAGGCAGCTGCATTCCAGCACTGGGCAGAGCAGGGTGCATGTATATCCAGCCCCAGTTCACTCACTCCAGGGGCAGCTCCAGCTCAGCCAGGCAAGAGGAACCAGGCTAGCTGCTGCAGGGGAGGTCCCCAGGCTGCTGCCCGGGCACGTGCTCCGCTCCCGCCGCGCCCGGGCCCGCTCCCGCTCCCAGGTGGTGGGAGGTAAACCAGGCGCCCGCAGGGAGCGCCCCCTGCCGGGCTGCTCTAACCACTACACCCAACAGTCTGCGCGAGCTCAGACAGAGTCCAGACTCCCGACCTCATTCTACGCTCCCTCCCAGAATAGAACCCAGCTGCCCCCTTTATAAGCGCTGCCTCTTTTACAGAAGCTGTCCCTCCTGGGATACCGTACCAGCCCACCTGCTCCTCAAGCCCCTCCCCCCAGCTTCTTCCCTGTTCCCACCAATGACTCCCCAGAGCGGGCCTTCCTCATTTCCGATTGGTCGAACTGGCCGCTCCCCACACCCCCTGTCTGGAGGGAGGGGGAAACGGTTGGGAGTGCACCTGCGCGGTGATGTCATCGCGCACGCAAGGCTCTTCCCCTTTCCTCTTCTTGATTGGTGCCCCCTGCCGCTCCTTTCCCATCCTCCCGCCCTCTGGCTCTGGGAGAGCGTCGGCGCGTGATGTCATCGCGCGCACACGCATGCACGCACGCACGCTTCCTTCTCCTTCTCCTTCCTGAGGCACCGGAAGCAGACGCTCCTCTCGGGCAGGGTGGGGGGAGCAGGGAAGTGCCACCGCCATCTTGGGGGAGCGAGAGACTACCCCCTCCCTGCACTGCTCCGCACCACTCCCCGCGCGTCCCGGCCAGCTCCGTGCCCTCGGGCCCCGGGCCCGGCTGTAGCGGGGGCAGGAGAGGGAGGCGAGGCCAGGCGACGGCAGCAGGAGTCTGGCGAGGACGGGGGGCCGGGCGGGGGCAGCGCCGAGGCCTGAGGGGAGGCCGGGGCAGGGGGCTGCGGCCCGAAAGACTCGCTGCGGGGGCAGCCCGAGCCGCCGGCCCGGCCGGGGAGCATTGTCCCGCCGCCGCCGCCGCCAGGGAGGAGCAGCCCCGGGAGCATCTAGGGCATCCGTCTGCATCCTCCTGAGTGGGCCTCGAGCAATGGCCACCAACCTGGGAGACCAGCGGGCCGCTGAATGGTGATTACTGGTTTGCAGGGGTGGGGAATAAGGGTTTGATCAGTTCTGATCATGGGACTTTGGGGGGTAGGTCCAGGGATGCCAGGTGTGCTGCCAGCTCCTTTGAAGTGTGCCTGTGGTGTGAGGAGGGAAGCTGCATAGTTAGAGGCAGGCTTAGGCTTGTCCCTGCCAGCATGAGCCTCAGCCCCACCGTGGGGATCCTCTGCAAGGAGGAAAGTGCTGTCAGGGATCAGTTTGTTGCTAGAAAGTGGGTGCTGTGCCATTTGCAAAAGTTAACGGAGGGGGTCTCGAGCCCTGTGAGGGGGTCTTGAGTCTTATGAGTGGTGTCTCGAGTCCAAAAAGGCTGAGCGCCACTGCTCCAGCTGTAGAGACTGGGATTATGCATGTCGCAAGGGGAGATTTTAATTTGGTTTGAAATAAAGGCTCCCTTTAAACCAGGACTTCTTTGGCAATGTTTGTCTGTCTATCTGTATATACAAGGGGAGAGGTTATATACATCTCCCCTTGTATATAAATGTAGATAGATCTACCCATGTGTGCGCACACTCATGCACGCACAAGGGGAGAGCTATCTATATCTGTATATGAGGGGAGATATGTGTATGTATACATATATGTAAGCATATCTCCTCCCTTTTCTCCCACTCCACTTTTTATAGAGGCAGATATTGCCAAAGAAACCCTGGGTTAGAGGGAGCCTTTATATCAAACCCAGTTAAAATCTCCCCTTGTATACCCAGTCGCCATGTGTCCTCATCGGTAGCAATCCTGTCACTGAGCAGCTACAAAGGTACACTATTTCAGAGCACAAGCTCACGACTCATGCAGGTCAGGGAAGGAAAGGAAAGGAACATCATGCAGCTGGACAAACACATCGTTTGTCTGCCTGCATGTCTGTGAAACTAGAGTTAGTAGCAGCCTTCAGGCCACTTCTCATCCAGCATAGTTAATTTTAAAATGACCTGGGTGGATTCAGCATATTTTACTCTTAAGGCAGGGGTTGCTGCTTGTTCATGTGTGTCTTGTGCCTGGCGCATCCCAGCCCTGACCTTGGGGAAGTTTTTGTTTCAGTTGCTGTTGTGCTGTAAGCCCAAGGCATTTGAAAATGGAGCTAGGAAACGTTGGAGGGAGATTGTGGCAAGTTATTGAAAGCCTGGCCTGTACGGTGGTGGTGGTGCAGTGATATAACTCTTTCAATGAGGGCATGATGTAGTGCTGAAATGATAACGCCAGGCAGTCATCTACTGTCGGCCCAGTTTATGCTGTCCCATTTATAGGACTGGAAGTGGCCTTTGGGGCCATCTGCTCCAGCCCTTCATGTTCACAGGCAACCAGTGATCCAAATATCATCACATAGCTTATTCCCCTTTAAGGCAGCAGTTCTTAAATTCTGTAGACTCAAGGTCCCTCTTGGAAAAGTGTCAGCTCTTAGTTTTCACACATTTTGACTACAGAAAAATATTAAAGCAGTTATTCTGTTGGAAAGAACTCAGAAAGCCCACAACAGGTCAGAATGAATTTGACACTATGGGTTCCTATTTGAAATCTCTGGGTTTATTGTATGAATCATACTTGCACACCTTAACAGCATTAGCATTGTGTGGCATGCTGGTCAAGAATTGCTGTTCAGAGAGTGGGATATTTTGGTGCAAGTACATGTGTTCAGCTATAACTGTGGGTATGTTATGGGTAGGGTGTGCCATGGTAATTACACCCAGTACAACAAACAAGCCCTTAAATTGTTGCCCTTGGTATTGCTCACATCGAGCATGTCCAGTGTATGTGGATGCACAACCTTTAAGCACTTTAGTAAATTGGAAGGAAATAAATATTAATGTCTAATAATGCAAAGGCTGTAGGTTAAATGCATCGGTCTGAGAACTGCACTTGTAAAACAGCTAAGGAATCTCCAGTCAGATGTGGAGTTGGATTTACAGTGAAGTGATGCTGAATTAAGGAGGCTGAGGAGAGAGTTACCGTGTGTTGGTTCTTCTGTAGTAACTTGTGTGTCCAATCTTATCCTGCAGTAAGTGGAAATTAAACTGCTAATTTAGCTTGGTTCCATTCAGAGCTAAACAGCCCTGGTTTAATTTGTACTTACTGTGGGATAGAGCAAACACCTGGGAGAGTTACCTTAAGTCAGCTAATGGGCAGTAAATCCCCCCCCCCCCCCTTTAACTCCATGTACTTTGTTCCCTTGTCTGTACCCTAATGCAGGCAAAGGAGTCTGAGTGAAATATCTCACTTGAAGGGAGGTGGCCAAACCTGTTCTGCATTGTTTTTAGAAAACACATTTAGAAGGTGGGAGGGGTGGGGGGGTTGTTTCCAAGCACAGCTGCCCTACTTAGAGAAACTGGGATACAGCTGAGCAAGTAAATAATTTGAGCAGCTTTGTAACTATCTTGTTGAAAATACATAGTAGGTTTGGAGTGTGGTAACTATTATGGTCCGGGAAACATGGGAGAAGCAAGTGTATTTTGGGTGATATCTTCGATTGAACCAGTTATGTAGTTGGGAGAGATGCTAGACAAGCTTGTGGGTACCAAGTGTCCTCCTTCATGTCTGGGAAAGAAGCATGGATCTTTCCCAGGCTTGAAGAAGGGCACTTAGTGCCGGAAAAATGGTCCAACATTTCTCCTAAACAGTTGGTCCAGTAACAGATATCACCAAAATATATAAACCCCTTTGCTTTTTATTGCACAAAGCAGTTTGCTTAGCACAGTGTTATTCTAAGCCCTGATCTTGCTGTGACCTCTGTGCAGGTGAGTCCCTTTCATCCATATAGACCCATGCTCATTCCCAGGCGTCTACCTATCAGTGTCAGCAGCTGTCAACATCAAGCCCATCGCCCCTTGGAGAGCAGCAACCTTAGAACTTTTGAGTTTCTTTTTAAAAGCCTCTGAAATGAGAACGGTTCTCCCCTGTGGCAGATTATTGAGGATTGTAAAGGTTGCTCCTTATGGGAAAACAGTTTTTTTTTTCATGTTATGACTTGTAAAGAAATCCCCAAACCTTTTTTGCTTTCTCTTTCCCTTTCACCCTTGGGAAAGCTTGGTAACCAATTTAGTAGAGAACTGTTTGTAAGACAAGAAAATTGGTGTCTAGATGATGTAGGATGTGGGTGTCAAGTTCATTCTACCCCACAGTCTAGATGAGTGGCATGGGTTCAGTCCACAGGGCAGATTGAGACCATGGACCTCCTCCCCTTCCCTTCCCCATCCCCCAGAATACTTGATCCAGTGCCTTCTGGCCATGCTGGGATCAATGCCTTATGCAGTACAATTTTCAGACTGGCTGCAGTGGCCACTGGTTCAGGTACTCTGGGGAGGGAGAAAGGGAAGGATCCACGGGCAGCTCATGAATCAGCCCTGTGCCATGTGCATATGTCCTGCCCCATGTGGGTCAGATCAGACACAGGGGCAGCACTGGGGTGCTGGACGGCAGGGCTCCACAGGCTGAATGTTTGACCCCGCTGATCTAACCGTTCTTTTTGGCCTGGCCTTCTGTCTGTCACAGGCTGTTACATTTCACCAGCTCTCCCCTATCTTGGGTCCAGTCACTTGTTTTTGACTAAAAAGAGTTTTCAGCAAGGCATTGAGTTTCAGCTTGAAAACATCAGGCCATGGAGACTTCCCTGCTTCTGGGAGTTTGTTCCAGGGATTTATTGATTTCCCTCTTGCTGCTAAAAATGTGTTTTACTTGGAATTTCAATTTGTCTGGCTTTAAACTCTCAGCCACAAGTTGTGCCTTGTATGGGACATGGATCAAAAATATGTTTAAAGAAAGAAAAGAGTCTTTAGTGGCACTCTCTCCTCCTGTTTGATTTGAACCAGGGTTAGTAAAACGAACCAACAAAAATAACTTCCCAGCTCTTGGCTTCAGTCCTGCGAGGTCTTGGCACATTCTGAACCCTGCAGCGAGACAATTCCATCAGCTCCCCTTAGACGCCCTTGCCACGCAGCAAACTCCTCCCCCCCCCGGTCTACTTTATTCCATTGTCTGTACCTTGCTGGGGACCATACAGATCCTCTGCAGGGATATATACTCACCCACCCACCCATGACATCCAAATGTGGTCAAGTCTCCAGTCAGCTGTCCTGTTCCAGGGAGGAGTGGAAAGACAAGACCTGAAAATCGAATATAAAACCCCTTCCAAGCCTTCAATTAACTAGCCCTTTTCTTGGGATACCCAAGCATAGGCTTAGAGCCTACTTGCAGGCCTGATACATCCACCAGGAACAAGTCCACTGGGATTGCTTTGTCAGCTGCCGGCCTGGGGTTGGAGAAGGGAACCCTGTGACCTGCCCTCTGTACCTCTGTTTCCCATAATGGAGGGGATCTACACTTCCATATTTCTCAGGATACGTGCGAAGGGAATGGAGAGGTGCTTGGGTGGCTGTAGGGGAAAGAGTTGGCACAGCCTAGGCCCAAGAGAATAGAACATGGGTATATGGAGCAACGTGACTTGCCACACTCTGGAGAGAAGGGCTACAGTTACTCTTCTATAGATGGAGCTTCTGCCTCAGCATATGTTTTTCTATTACAGTGCAGCTTGCTTCCCTTTTAACCTTTTCTCCTTTACTGTGCCAGTTGGGGACCTTGAATCTTCACCTGTTGTAGAAGCCTCAGTGCCCTCCTTTGGAGTGATTCCCAAGCCTGTACTTGGAGAGGAGGAGGCAGGGCAGCAGATGCCATGGGCAGAGGCTCCTAATGTAACTAGTCTTTTCTCTAACCTCTCCAGGGCCCCGCAGTACAATATGGGAAACAGCAACACCCGGGAGAACACTATGGAAGGGCCAATGCACGAGAACCCTGAATGGGAGAAAGCCAGGCAAGCACTGGCCAGCATTAGTAAAGCCAACGCCGCCTCTGGGAGCAGCAAGAGCTCCAGCAGCGCACCAGCTAATGCCCAGGTAAAGAAGACCGAAGGAGGGAGGCCCCACCTGACCCAGGCTACCAGGTTTTGGGTTTCAATCATAGAATCAAAGAGAAGTAGGGCTGGAAGGGGCTTCCATAGATCATCTAGTCCAACCCCCTGCCTGAGGCAAGATCATCCCTATACAAATCATCCTGTACAGATCCATAATCTATCCTCTTAGTAAAACTACCGTCATCCCTCACACAACACAAGCAATAACATCCAAACCTGCCACCAGCAAAGCAGGGGGACACAGCAGCCAACATCCTACTTCTATGAAAGATTGTTAATATACACTCGAGATCCCAGGTAGAGAGCTATGTGCCTCACTACAGAAAAAACAAAACGCACCACAGCCCACAGTAATCTGGCCATTGGGTAAAATTCCTTTCTGACCCCACCCATGGTGTGATCAGTCTGACCCTGGGTGGAAAGGCAAGATCCTCTAGCCAGGAACCTTCTGGTTTAAGTCCCAGCAATGACACAACCCAGCAGTCTTTCCTGCCCAGAGCAGCAGAGCTGGACCTGATGATCTCACAAGGTCCCTTCCAGCCTTAAACCTCCTGTGAACCCAATCCAAATCCCCACCCTTGGCTGCAGCCAGCGCCCAATGCCTCTGAGGAAGGCTTAAAAACACCGACCCACGTTGCCCCCCCCCCTTCCTGCTACCAGTAAAGCCCATAAATGTGGGAAATCCCCATAGTAGAACAAAAGCATAGCTACAGCTAGATTGTCCCTGACCCCTTTCCTGGAAACCTTCCAGTGATGGAGAGTTCACAACTTTCCTAGATGTCTGTTCCACTGCCTTACCTCTTCTAATGGTGAAGTGTTTCCTTGTATCCAATCTAAACCTACTTTGCTGCAAATTCAGGCCATTGGCCTGCATCCTACTCTGCAGCAAAAGAGAAAAGGTGGAAAAGGTGTTTTCTCTCGCTCTTGCTCTTTATGGCATTCCTTCAACTATTTGAAAACTTCCATCATGTCCCCTCTTAAGTGCCTTTTCTTCAAGGTGAAGATGCCTAGCTCTTTCAGCCTCTCCTCATATGACTTTCTTTGCAAGCCCTTTATCAATTTTATCACACATCTCTCCACATGAGCTCAGCTACCCTGAGGTATTGTAGCCTAGTGGATGGAGCACAGGACCTCGGCTGGGCAGATGTGGGTTCTGCTTCTAGCTCTAGTCTACTGGATAAAGCTCTGGGTTTCTCACCTTTTTCTACTTCCCAAGCTCTCCTGCCCTTCAGCTGTTTCTTAACAGTGAGTAGGGGCCCCAGACTCTGCAGGGAGTAACTAAAGACTCCTTTAAATTAGATGGATCAGTTTAAAATTCCCAAGTGGAAAATCGTCAATTTAAATAGTTGTTTTTGTTGTTGTTTAATTTTACGTATTCCATTTGTCCTTCACTCATTGTCTAAAGCAAGGTGCATTCTCATTCATCCCAAGGGTTATACCAACCGGAATTTACAACTAAGGATGAGGGCAATCACCACAATTACTGTGGAATCATTTACCTCAGACTTTATTCCATAGTAAAGAGCGAGTCCATGACCAGTTCTAACAAGCTGGCTGCCTACAATTGGTGCTATTGCAGAGCCTGCCACTATTAGAGTCCTGCCACTAGGTGGCAAGACATCTGATTCCATTCTGGAATTAGCCTTTGCTTAATGCAAATAGATTGGCTCTCCTTGCGTAGTAAAGCAGAAGCAGGGCATAGTAGCCCCTTATAGGCTTATTATTTCAGAAGGGCATAAGCTTTCATAAGCAACAGCTTGCTTTGTAAGATTCATGGCATGCTACTGCTTACAAAAGCTTATTATGCCCCTCTGAATTCATTAGACTATACGGTGCCACTCTGCCCTGCCTTCTCCCTGATGTGTCTGACCTGGTGAACTACCTTTCTCTTGTAGTAGTTACTACATGGCTTTTTAGGAGGTAACTTCACCTTGGATTTCAGTGATTTGCTTTGGCTGTGCATCATGTGCGTCTCTAATGATACTATGTAGTAGGGTTGGCAAGGCGGTCAATTGATGCGTCAAATATTATCAGTTGATTGGTCAGTTGACTGCATTTTTTTTTTGACTGGCCAAAGATTATAGCAATTTTACCCAAAAAAAACCCCCACACCTTTTTTGTAGTTTTCTTGATGGAAATATGAATTCTTAATTGTTTTTTTGACGCATTTAATGGAAAATTTATACTTTTTCTGTGTATTATTTGGACCTATTGGCAATTTTTTATTTTCTGACTGATATTTGACGGGCCAGTTGACCAAACTTTATTTGACCAGTCAAATACCAAACCTACTATGTAGTACAGCCCATTTACTGTCATAAATGTGCTGTGTCAGCACCCTGAACAGGACCTTGACTATAGTGTCTCATTTTGTAGCATAGGAAGTCACCTTAGGCACATGCTTGTTGAAGCAATTACATGCTGTTTTCTGATTCTTATTAACTTTACAGCCTTAGTATATTAGGAACGAGCGAATGATACATTGCACACACGTTAGATAATTAATTAACTTCTTGCTCATGATTTGCCTTAGACAGTTGCTTTAAACTGGTAACTGGAATTTAAATACATGCAACAGCCTGTAGAATTTATTTTCATTATGCTTTAAATGCTGTGCTTTTTTAAAAAGAAAAAACTGATTATAATTTGAAAAAAGTGATTCAAGTATGATGATTTTTTTTTTTTTTATCACCACACCACCCTGCCCCCTCACTTAAAATGACAGTCATGCCTTACCTGTTTGCTGTGGTAACTACTGGTAGTAGTACCACAGCCCCAAATGAGGACTGAGACCCCCACCATGCCACACTGCTACCAATGCAGCCCTATAAGCACTTCTCACCTATCTCCTGCCTTGGTTAGGTTGTCAGGCACGTGTGCAAGGTGCATGCACTCTCTTGGCTGTTGCGTGTCCATGCTGCCTCCTGGCTATGGAGAAAATCTAGGCAGCCTTTCTGTATGGTGTGGTTTCATAGTTTGTAGGGTCGGAAGGGACCTGAGCAGATCATCAAGTCTGACCCCCTGCCATGGCAGGAAAGAGTACTGGGGTCAAACGACCCCAGCAGGGTGTTCATCTAGCCTCCTCTTAAAGACCTCCAGGGTAGGAGCCAGCACCACTATTCTTGGAAGTTGGTTCCAGATCCTAGCCGCCCTGACCATGAAGTAGCACCTCCTGATGTCTAGTCTGAATCTACCCTCTGCCAGCTTGTGACCGTTATTCCTTGTCACTCCTGGGAGTGCTTGGAGGAACAGGGACTCCCCAATGCCTGCTGGTCCTCTCTGACTAGTTTGTAAATGGCCACTAGATCCCCCCCTCAGCCTTCTCTTGCGGAGGCTGAACAGGTTCAGGTCCCTTAGCCTTTCCTCGTAGGGCCTGCCCTGCTGCCCCCTGATCATGCGAGTGGCCCTCTTCTGAACCCTCTCCACATTGTCCACATCCCTCCTGAAGTGTGGCGCCCAGAACTGGACGCAGTACTCCACCTGTGGCCTGACCAGTATCACAAAGAGGGGGAGGATCACCTCCTTGGACCTGCTTGAGATGCATCTGTGGATGCATGACAAGGTATGGTTGGCCTTCCTGACCGCGTCCCCACACTGTCGGCCCACGTTCATTTTGGCATCAATAATGACTCCAAGATCCTTTTCTGCCTCTGCACTGACAAGAGAGTTCCCCAGCCTGTAGGTGTGCTGCTGGTTCTTCCTCCCCAGGTGCAGTACCTTGCACTTGTCAGTGTTGAAACCCATCCTGCTCTCATCCGCCCACCCCTGTAACTTGTCTAGGCCTGATTGCAGCCTATTCCTCCCTTCTAGCATGCCCACTTCCCCCCACATCTTAGTGTCTTCTGCAGATTTGAACAGGGTGCTTTTTTTTACCCCCTCGTCCAAGTCGCTGATGAAAATATTGAACAGTGCAGGCCTGAGGACCAAGCCCTGGGGAACCCCACTGCCCACATCTCTGCATGTCGAAAATGACCCATTCACCACCACTCTCTGGGTGCGGCCCTCCAGCCAGTTAGTGACCCATTTGACTGTGTAGGTTGTCAGAGAGGTGCCTGCAGCAGTGCATCCTGGGAAGTCCTGGATGCAGCAGGGGCCTGTGGTTACTGAGTGGGGTGCCTGTCATTCCTACTGATTCCTCCTTCTGTCTCTAGTATTCATCCCAGCAAGGAGACCTGAGTGCCATGCAGCAGCAACAGTATTACCAGTGGTACCAGCCATATGGTTACACGTATCCATACAACTACTACTACCCAATGGTGAGTAAGGACGTAACCATTAAGGTCTCCTACTGTCAGCATCTCGAGGACTAGGATCCAAAGGGAGGAGCTTGCTGTCAGCAAGGTAGCACAGCCAAGTGGTTGACACCCCCTCAGGGTGTAATGGGAAAACCTGAGCTCCCCTCCCACCTTAAATGATTTTTCCAAAGCAAGGGAATATGCTCCTCAGAGTTGCTGAGTCATGGATGGGAGGGAGGCTTCCAGCATCTCCAGAGATGATGGGGCGGGGAATGATAGAGAATTTATCCAACACTCTGAAGATGCCACCAGCTCTCTGACACCATTCTGTGTTGTGGGTTGTTGTCTACAGAATGTCTATCCTGGCTACAACTCTCCCAGCCAGTATGGGGTTGCGGGCTCGTATTCCTCATCAACACCCCAGCAGCCGCCAGCTCCAGGCCAGCACCAAGGGAACATGAACCAGGTGAGATATAGACTGCTCCTCACCCCCACCTCCCAGTCATCATGGCCTCTGGTTCCCCACTTCAGCAGCTTGTGGGCAGTTGTTCCCTTCATTCCTGAACCAGGAATGGTGTTAGGGTTGTGGCCTGGTGGTCCAAAAGCAAGAGCACATGGGATGGGTGGGCACTCTTGGCTTGGCAGCTTCCCTGGGGTTTGACTCTAAGCTTCCTGCAGGAGATTGACCTATTAGTTGGAGCAGGGTGGCTGGGAGCCAAGACAGTGGGCTTCTTCCCCCAGCCTTGGGATGGGAGTGGGTCTGATGGGTTAAAGCAGGGCATCCTGGGAGCCAAGAATGCTAGGGGTGCAGCAAAAGAGATTTTTGGGGCTGATGCCACTAGCCATTTTTAAGGAGCCATATCAGCCAATACCGATCCAATTCTGATATGCGGCCTCGCAGCCTGGAGAGCTGCGTCCAACTAGTGAGTCTGTTGTGAGGGAAGGGGAGGGGACCAAGGCCCCTGCGATGGAGGAAGTGGGGCTTGGGCTTGGGCAGAGGTAGCTGATGCCCAGCCAGGGCAGGGCACAGGATGGAGCCACGGTTCATCTTGGGGTAGCGGGGGTGGCAGCTCCCATTGCTGCACATACCCCGAGAGGGCATAGGGAGTGGGGGCGTGTGCCCCCAGATCTGCATGCAGGGCAGGGTGGGCTGCTGCTGGGGCCAGGGCTGCGCTGGACTCTTCGCATCAGGGGGGCTGGGCCAGGCTGCTTTGTGGCAGGCAGTGGCAGTGGGGGGGGGGGGGGGCTACAGCAAATTTTGGGGTGGCTGCAGCCCCCCAAACCCTCCTCCCAGCACCACCCACCCTGAGCACAGCCTGCCCTCGCCCCACACACAGATCTGGGGATGCCCCCTGGTCGAGACCTGACTCTGTCCTGTGCCCCACACTGCCCAGCTGGGTAGCCCCTGTCCCAACACCATTGCCAGCCCTATTTCCTCCCTCACTGCAGGGGCCTTGATCTGCCCCCCATGCTTATGCCCTCCCCACTTATCCCTTCCCCCAGCCAGACCTGGCTGCTGTCCATGCTGTAGGGCTGCACTCCTGGCTGCATGCATGCTGCACCTGTGTGCATGCACACGGCATTTATTGGCCACATTATCAGCTGTGTCAGACAAAAAACGCTGATTGCCAATACTCGCAATTTTCCTCATCAGTGCTGATCCAACATGGGGCCTTTGTATCAGTGCACCTCTACAGAATGCTATTGGTTGTCACTCACTGCTATCTCCTCAAGAGATCCTGAGTTGCAGTGGCAAAAGACACTTTTCCACCTTTAACCAGGGACTGTTACCCCCTTGTTGTTTATCAGGTCTTAGGACAAGGGGCTGAAAACTACCTACTCTATCCCAGGGAATTCAGTAGGGCTGCACTGGAGGGCTGCTGGGGGTCAGGCAGTCTATCCCAAGTCCCCCACCATTCTGCTGTGTTTATCGTTCTGCTGTGTATGGCTTTAGCAGGGAACTCTTCAGTAAACTAAATCACAAAAAGCTTATAAGAAGTGGAAACATGGACAAATAATTAGGGAAGAATATAAGAGCATTGCTTGGGCATGCAGGGATGAAGTCAGGAAGTCCAAAGCACAGTTGGAGTTGCAGCTAGCATGGGATGTGAAGGGTAACAAGAAAGGTTTCTACAAGTATGTTGGTAACAAGAGGAGGATCAGGGAAAGTGTGGGTCCCTTACTGAATGGGGGGAGGCAACATAGTGAAAGAGAATGCAGAAAAGGCTAAAGAGCCTTTTTTTTCTCAGTCATCACAGACAAGGTCAGCTCCCATGCTACTGTACCAGGCAGCACAGTTTGGGGAGGAGGTGAGCAGCCAACAGTGATGAAAACAGGTTAGGGACTGTTTAGAAAAGCTGGACATACACAAGTCCATGGGGCTGGATGGGATGCACCCAAGGGTGCTGAGAGAGGTGGCTGATAAGATTGTAGAGCCCCTGGCCATCATCTTTGAAAACTCATGGTGATCAGAGGTCCCAGATAATTGGAAAAGGGCAAACATAGTGCCCATGCTTAAGAAAGAGGAAAAAGGGAACTGCAGACCAGTCAGCCTCACCTCAGTCCCTGCAAAATGGTGGAGCAGATCTTCAAGGAATCCATGTCTAAGCACTTGGAGGAAAAAGTGATTAGGAACAGTGAGAATGGATTTGCCAAGAGCAAGTCAGGCATGACTAACTTGATTGCCTTCTATGATGAGATGACTGGCTCTGTGGATGTGGGGGGACAGGTGGATGTGGTATACCTTGGTTTTATCAAGGCTTTTGATACAGTCTCCCACAACATTCTCACAGGCTAGCTAAGGAAGTATGGACTGGATGAATGGAGTGTAAGGTGGATAGAAAACTGGCTAGAGCACCGGGCTCAGGAGATAATAATCAATGACTTGATGTCTAGTTGGCAGCCGGTATCAAGTGGAGTGCCCTAGAGGTCGATCCTGGGTCTGGTTTTGTTCAGTGTCTTCATCAGTGACCTGGAAGATGCCATAGAGTACACCCTCAGCAAGTTTGCAGATGACACCAAGCTGCGGAGAGTAGTAAATATGCTGGAGAGTAGGGCTAGGATTCAGAGTGACCTAGACAAATTGGAGGATTGAACCAAAAGGAATCTCCATGAGGTTCAACAAGGACAAACGCAAAATCCTGCACTTAGGACAGAACGGTCCCATGTACCACTACAGGCTGGGGGCTGATTGGCTGGGCAGCAGCTCTGCAGAAAAGGACGTGGGGGTTACAGTGGACAATAAGCTGAATATGAACCAGCAGTGTGTCCTTGTTACCAAGAAAGCTAATGGTATACTGGACTGCATTGGTAGGTGTGTTGCCAGCAGGTCAAGGGAAGTGATTAGTCCCCTCTATTCAGCACTGGTGAGGCCACATCTGGAGTACTGTGTTCAGTTTTGGGTCCCCCACTACAGAAAGAATGTGGACAAATTGGAGAGAGTCCAGTGGAGGACAATAAAAATGGTTCAGGGGCTAGGGCACATGACTTACAGGAATAGGCTAAGGGAACTGACCTTATTCAGTCTGGAGAAGAGAAGACTGAGTGGGGATTTAATAGCAGTCTTCAACTACCTGAAGGGTGGTTCCAAAGAGTATGGAGCTGGACTGTTCTCAGTGCTGGCAAATGATAGAACTAGGAGCAATGGTCTTAAGTTGCAGCAAGGGAAGTTTAGGTTAGATTTTAGGAAGAATTTTCTGACTGGGAGGGTAGTAAAACACTGAACCAAGTTACCCAGAGAGGTGGTGGTATCTCTGTCCTTGGAGGTTTTCAAGACCCGACTAGACAAAGCTTTGACCGGGATGATCTAGTTGTGGATGGCCCTGCTTTGAGCAGGGGGTTGGACTAGATGACCTCCTGAGGCCCCTTCCAACCCTGACTTTTTTTTCTTTTTTTTTTTTTTTCTCTATGATTCTATCCCTGGGTATGACCCAAGGTGGCTTCTGGTTTACAGTGTCTCTCCTTCCCAGCCACCAGTCCCTGGCCTTGATGACAGCATGCCCTATCCCAGCCAGCAGCAGCAGCTTGCCACCTCGACCCCCTCACAGCCTCCTCCACAGCACAATGCCCACTCCATGGGGGGTGCAGGCCAACAGCAGGGCAACTCCTCTGCACCCCAGCACCCGCAGCAGACCTCATCCGGCCCCTCCTATGGCCAGCACTCGTACTCAGAGGGGCCCAAGCCTAAGAAAGGGCAGCAAATCTGGAACCGTATGAAACGTGAGTCCCAACTCAGGCTGGCTCTGAAAGGGGTGGTGCTGGGAGACAGGACTCCTGGGTTCTCTCCCAGCTCCGGGAGGGTATGAAGAGTTCTGGGGAGCTGGAGCTTGGAGTGGAGAGCCAGGACTCCTGGGTTTTGTTCCAGACTCTGTGGAACATTAAGGGGTTGTGGGGGAGGGCTAGGAATCGGGGTTCCTGGCTTGTTAGCAGTCTTTAGCAGACTCTGTATGAACTCAGGCAAGTCCTCAAAGGCAAGCTGCAGTTAATGACTGTAGCTGTCTTGTAACCCGACAGCGGTGTTCCTGTGTCCTCGCCATGACATTGGCATGCTTTGCTTATGCAAACAACCTCCTCCCCCTACTCCCAGCCTCTTTGTGGTTTGTTCTGTGTCCCGCTCTGTGAACCTACAGCACTTAACTCCTTCCTGCCTCCCGGCAATGGAAACTTTCATCCAGAGCACCATATTAAAGTATTTAGCCATCTCCTAACACATTTTCATTACTGTCACTTTCAGCATTGCTGCTTAGTGTCAAGATGCAGCTGTCTTAGGTGGAGTTCAGAGAGCATTTATACCAGGATGATTCTTCTGGTGCTAAGATGTGGCTGCCTCTGGGGTAGGGGTGCACTGTGGAGCTGCTTATGCAGGGACCTCACTTAGTGCTGATGCAGCCACCTCTGGTGTAGGGTGTGGGAGCTCTCTTTATACATGAACCTGTCAGCTGATGGTGAGATGCAACTGCCTCTGGGATGGAGGGCATGTCCCTGACCTCAATCCATGTCACTCCAGTTTAGGAGAGGGCATGCATGAGAGTGCAGTTAGAATTAGAGGATGGATTTTTAGCACCTCTCCCAGGCTCAGCTCCACTGGCTGCTCGTGTCCATTTGAGTTTGAATAGCTCTCTCCACACTCAAGTTGCTGACAGGTGACACGTGACAGGGTCTTGAGTAAGTCCATCCCGCAGGCCTCTGAAATCAACGCTCTCCTTCTTTCTTTTAGCCATTGGGTAACATCCACTTTTCCCACTTCTCTCTCGCAGAAGCCCCTGGTGCAGGGGGCCTGAAATTCAACATTCAGAAACGCCCTTTTGTACTAACAAACCAGAACTTTGGGGGTGCAGAACAGCATGGTAACTTTGGCTCACAGCAGAACTCGGAGAAGCATCATAACCATGGGTGTGTATCCCCTTCACTGAGCACGATGGCCAAGCAGCTGGGATGGGAGGAGGTGGTACAGACCCAGGACCCTGTTGATTTTCAAATCCCACCTCTGCTATATTTTCCTCCCCAGCCAGCCTTTTTCAGAGGGAGCTTTCATATGACCCAAGGAGCAGTCAAGTCCAATGCAGACCAAACAGTGCAGGTTGAAGCTATGTCACATGTGCAGGGCAGTTTCCTGACTGCACATGCTGGGTTTGGTGGTAGGAGATGCAGTTGTCAGATTAATTTTCTCCCTTTCCAAGTCAGAGGAGCATGTAAATGGCCATAAGCAGGGAAACAGCTGAAAAATCCCCAGTCAGCAAACACGACTGGATCTAAATACCCCTGTCTCCCAGATCTGTATTTTGATCTAATGCTGAAGGTGGGAGTCTAACCTCTCTGTAAGCCCTGTCTGTAGCAAGTGGTCCATGCCCTCTGTCAAAGGGATAAATACCTCTTCCCAAACCCTTCCCCCAGCTAAGGGTCTTCTCATGATCCCTAAATAAGGCCACAGTTATAGGTTTGATTCTCTGACATCTGTCTTGTTTCCCCTTCCCCCAGTTCATCAGCTGGCAAACCTGAGGACTGGCCCCAGGACATGAAGGAATACGTCCAACGCTGCTTCACTGCCTGCGAGTCCGAGGAAGACAAGGACAGAACAGAGAAACTGCTGAAGGAGGTTCTGCAGGCCAGGCTGCAAGACGGCACAGCCTACACCATTGACTGGAGCCAGGAGCCGCTGCCAGGGTGAGTGGGTGTCTGGAGGCAGGGAAGTAGTGCTAGCGTGTTAGAGCATTGGGGGCTAGGAGCCAGAACTCGGTTCCGTTCCAGCCCTGAGGGGAGTGGGGTATGGGTTAGAGCAGGAAGTACCAAGGTTCAGGACACCGGGGTTTTGTTCTTGGCTCTAGGAAGGCTAAGGAAACTAGGTGCTGTAGAAGGAGCAGTAAAGAGCCAGGACCCCTGGCTCTTATCCCAGCTTCAGGAGGGGATGTGGGCTAAGATTACAGGGGCCTCCGTCTTTTAGGCTCTGTCAAGGTGGGCCTTGGTCAGCTGCTCCTCTCCTCCCCAGTAACACACGCACTCTCCTTTCCAGTCTGGGCAGGGACAGCATCTCTGAGAGCCCCAAGAAAAAGCGGTGGGAAGTGTCCTCGCTCCACTCTCCACGGGCCTCTATGCCCTCAGGCCTGGCATCGCAGCAGCAGCAGCAGCAGCAACAGCCCTCACAGCAGCGGGTTGGGGCCAGCACCTTGGGCCCCCCGGCCCCACGTGGCGGGGTTGGTGGGGCAGGTGGTGGGGCTGGGGCTGGCCGCACCCGTGGGAATGGCTTCCCCACCAAGTTTGGGAACCGCAATGTCTTCATGAAGGAGAACAGTTCATCCTCCAGTGCTGGCTCTCGCTCCCGCTCCTCGTCGCGCTCACCCAGCCGCCACTTCAGGCGCAGGTAGGGCCGGGCCTGTACTGGAGGCACAGTTACATCCACAGCTGCATTAACACAGACCTATTTCAGGCTTAAGAACTGCCATTTAATGAGCCAGCCCATAGGTCTGTCTTGCCAAGTCTCCTGTCACACAGGGACAGAGAGGATGCTGAAAGGGAGAATGAACAGGGTATGACCACAGTTTTTCCTGCTGTTCCTCTGTTACTTGCAGCTTCAAGCATTTAAGGTCCAGGAAGTTCTGATTTGGAGGCTGTGCCCATCACTCCTGTGCTCAATAGTTATTGATGTCCCTTTCCTCCCAAGGATTTGTCCAGTCCCTTTTTGAATCAGGTTAAACAGTCAGCTTCCACAGCATCTGGTGGCAATGAGTTCCCCACTTCAATTGCACGCTGTACAAAAAAGAGCTTCCTTTTGTTAGTTTTTAAACTAACTACCTACTAGTCTCATTTTGTGACCCTTGGTTCTTGTCTCATGAGAGACGGTAAATAATAATAAATCCCTGAGATTTTCTCTTCACTGTTCACTAATTTGTAAATCCTTCTCATGTTCCCACTCAAGCATCTCTTTTCTAAACTGAATAAGCCTAGCCTCTCTAGTGTCTCCTCAGATGGAAGCTTCTCCACACCACTGATCATCCTTGTTGCCCTTCCCTAGTTCTTCTGGAACCAGTTCTGGAAGCTCCCTGATGACTCCAGCTTTGCCCTCATATCATGGCTGAGCTGCACCACTCTAATACCTATGTCTCCCTTGACAGTGATTCCCACTCAGACTCGGACAGCTCCTACTCCGGCGGCGAGACCCGCCTGGGGCCCCGCAGGGGTGCACAGAAGAACCGTGGCAGAGGGGGGCACATAGAGAGGGGTCGCATGAGGATGCAGAGGGGTAAAAGGTACGGAGGGGAGTCCTGCTTGTGCCAGAGAAGGAACAAGCTCTCTCTAACCTCAGTGTCCATGTAGGGGCTGGCTTTACTGTACAACGCAGCCAAGCTTAGGAGCTAGGACTCCTGGGTTCAATGTCCAAGTCTGGCAAAGGAGGGGAGTCTGCTGGGTTATAGAGCAGTGGGGCTGGGAGACATGATACCAGTTCTTTCCCAGCACTGGTGATGGGAGTGGGGGCTGGTGGGTTGGAGCAGGATGCCTGGATTCTCACTCCAGGTCTAGGGAGGGAAGCAGGGGCTGGTAGGTTGGACCCAAAGGGTTGGGGAGCAGGACACATGGGTTATATCCCTGGCTGTGCCTCAGACCCCTGACCCTGTCATGACTTCCATGTGATGTGCAGGCATGACCAGGGCCCCTCCAAGCGTAACCGCAAGAGGGCCACCATGGACTATGAGGACCCTGAGAAGGAGTTCAAGAAGCAGCGGCGGGCAGCCCGCTTCCAGCATGGCCACTCCAAGAAGCTGAGGCTGGAGCCCCTCATCCTTCAGATCAACAGCCTAGACACAGCTAGTTCTGAGGGCCCTGACTGGAATGAGCTCAAGATCATGGGCACCAGCCAGGAGATCACCAAGCACTACCTGCGACTCACCTGCGCCCCTGACCCCTCAACCGTCCGGCCTGTCTCGGTGAGCACTGATGCTCCCTGTCCCTGGCTCTGTCACACACATGAGCCTGGTTTCCCCAAGCTAAGATGAAGGGGGATGGAAATGCTATCACAGGTACAGAAATACCACATGAGCCACCAAAGCCAGAGACCGAAAGTTTCAGGTGCCACATGAAAGCTGACAGCCACAGTTCTCTGGTGTCAGTGCAGCTTAACTGGAGAGCGCACCAGTCCAGGACCCAGGAAGAGCTTCTGTCAGCTCTACAGCCTGCTGTGTGATATTTAGCTCACTTCTTCCTAGTGCCTCAATTTCCCCACCTCTTGTCCTTATAGATTTGTAGAGGGTTTACTTGTGGAGGGAGAAGGGTGGGGTCATGGTTGGAGTGTAGGCAACATCCCTAGGAACCCCAAATCTTGGCTGGGGGTGGGGCATATGGAAGAGCTCCTTTCAGCTGGGGAGTCTGGACAGCATGTGGCATTACAGCCATCTGCAAGGCAGTAATAGGGTGTCTTGTAGCCTAGGATCCAGCTTGGCTTCAAGGCCCAGTGCCGCCTCAACTGCCAAGGGAGGGGTAAATGATCTGTCCCCAGAGAGAGAAACCCCTAATAAAGATACTGTCACTGATCTCCTGTCCTTCCCGTCACTCACCAAGGATAACTCTGTCCTGCAGGTACTGAAGAAATCTCTCTCCATGGTGAAGTCACACTGGAAGGAGAAACAGGACTATGTCTTTGCTTGTGAGCAGATGAAATCCATCCGGCAGGACCTCACGGTGAGCCCCACTCCTTCCCTCTCCTGGGCATTAGGAGCCATGCGAGGGTCAGCTAAGGCCTGCCTGCCTGCAAATATCTTGAGCCCAGCTGCTGTGGTACACTGGCCTCTCCAAAAACGGAGCAATGACTGCAGCATAAAGCAGGGTGTCTGCACACTGTTGCACCTGAAGAAGACTAATCCTGTTGCTGCTGCAGTCAGCTTTCCTATTTGGACAAGCCCTGAACAGCCTAAACAGCAGGCTGGCAGGGTCTTCCTAGAGCAGTGAGTCCAGCCCCCTGCTCTTGTAAGTAATTGTGTAAGGCAGTCCCATTCACTTGCTGATCTAAACACCTTACATATCTCTGGGATTTTGGTGATCCCACCACTGTTACTGGAAGGCTCTTCCCAAGCTTCAGTGCTGTGCTGGTTAGAAATGTAATTTCTAGCCCAAGTTTGTTCCCATCCAGTTAACATCTGGTCTGGTGCTGCTGTTGGCTCCAGTAGCTCTTCTCCCTGCTTGGTATTCCTCCATGGATGTATTTATGGACAAGAGTTAAATTTCTTCTCTGCCTGTGCTTTGTCCAGCTGGTCTCTCATAAGAGCTGCTCAGTCTGGTAACTTTTCTCTGGATCTGTTCCCCAGTCAGTCCTTGTGTATTAGGCATGGGTGGCCAGAATTGCACCTGATTATTCCATGTGAGACCTTGCCAGGGTCTTGTTACAGCAGTATCAGCACTTTTCTCTTTGGTGTGGTTTTGTTTTGTTTGGACATTGGGGTCTGAGAGGGGAAGTAGGATCTGGTGGCTTAGAGCAGGAGAACTGGGGCGCCTCTGTTCTCCACAGTGTTCTGCCACTGGTTTGCTATGTGACCTGTCAGGGTTGGCACTAGCAGCCTGCCCCCAGATAAGAACTCATAACCACTTAAGAAGACTGTCTGCCTCACTGGATCTGGTGGCTGCCAATGGCACCTGCCATCTTTCTGTTGCTTCCCCTCAGTTCCTGCAGAGCCAACTCCTCAGCATCAAGTGTTAATGTGTCCCAGCTCCATCACATGTGCTAACTGTTGCTGGCAGTTGTGGCTAGCTGTCAGGGCAACAGCTAATCCAAACTGCGGCCACTCCCTTTTGGCCTGCTTATCAAGAGCCTAGGCCTTCTGCCCCAGCTCAGAGGCCTCTTTGTGGCTGCTTTCAGCCAATGCTTGTGGCTGAACAAGGGCATGTGTGGTAACACTGCCCCTCTCTTCTCCCCTCTTTGCCAACCCCCAATCTTAGGTTCAAGGTATTCGCACAGAGTTCACAGTGGAGGTATACGAGACCCATGCCCGGATAGCGCTGGAGAAGGTGAGTGTGGGGGAGAGAAGCCAGTCATTGTGAGGTCTGTCAGTGGGAATAGCCGTGCCAGGGGTAGGGCATCATCAGCATCTTGCTGATCTGTCAGAAGAAATTGAACCCTTGTTTTGGGCATGCCTTGAAATTTGCCAAAGCAGGAAGGGATGCTAGGTTGGACCCAGTGGCTGGAACTCATGGGTTCTGTCCCTGGTTCTGGTAAGAACAGGAGAGAGGTCTAGGGGGTTTAGAAGTAGGAGACAGGACTCCTAATTTATACCCCCAGTTATGGGCAGGGAGTGGGGGGCATTTTGGTTTAGAGCAGGAGAGGCTGAGATTCAGGATCCTGCAGCCTTGTTTCTGGAAAGGAGATGGGATCTGTAGGCTAAAGCAGAGCCAGGATTGGGGGCTGTTGGGTTGGGTTTTTTACCCGGCTGTGTCGCTGATCATAGTTCCCTTGAGCAAGCTGACCTCCACCCAGCCTCAATAAAGGGGAATCTGTCCTCCAGGGGGATCATGAGGAGTTTAACCAGTGCCAGACACAGCTCAAGTCTCTCTACACGGAGAACCTACCGGGCAATGTTGGGGAATTCACTGCCTACCGCATCCTCTACTACATCTTCACCAAGAACTCTGGGGGTGAGTGAGCTGCATCCAGGTGTGTTGACTGCAGAGCTGGGGAGTCCTTCCTTGATGGTATGACTCTATTAAGCCTGGTCTACAGCTGTCCTTCCTGACAGCCCTGCCTCCCTGTCTGGGGAAGGTCTGCCATAGAGATGCCCGTGGTACCCACCTACATTGTGTAACTCTAGCCATGTCTTTGGCTTGGAAGACCTATAGTTCTGGTAGACTCTTACCGTAGAGTTGTAGAGGAGTCCTCCAGGAATCCCTGCAGGACTCTTAACTATAGAGACAACCTAGAGCGCCTCTCCTATTTCACCGATGAAAAGGGCAGACCCAGGACACTGGGGAACCTCCCAGCCACTGCCAGGATGCTTCTCTGCTTTGCAACTACCCCCCCAAGGCTGGGAAGGTGGTGGGGGTCCCCCCGTCAGCCCTAATAAGCTTGGGCCTTGCCTCTCTTCTCCTTCAGATATCACCACAGAGCTGGCGTACCTGACCAAGGAGCTGAAATCAGACCCCTGCGTAGCCCACGCCCTAGCCCTGCGTGCTGCTTGGGCCCTGTCCAACTACCACCGCTTCTTCCAGCTCTACCATGAGGCGCCCTGTATGTCCGGCTACCTCATCGACAAATTCGCTGAGCGGGAGAGGAAAACGGCTCTTAAAGCCATGATCAAAACGTATGTGAGGCTGCGCAAGCGCTCTGCCGGCTAATCCGCCCCTGCCCAGCCTTCCCTTTCCCCAACACCTGGATCCCTGGCCTGATACCCTCTGCTGGGGGTGCCAAGTGCTTCCTGGTTAAAGCTGGTGGGAGATCTGGGTGCCCAGTACCCACTCCCACCTTCCCATGCCCAGCTGCTGCTGGGGCTGGGCTGCGGCCTGCCCACAGTCCCTCTTAGGCCAGATAGGGGCTAGCCTTAAAGACTTCCAAGTGTACTCAGGAGCAGTCTGCCCTGGCAGGTAAGTAGGAAGTGGCTAGTACCTGTGGCTGCATCCCAACTGCCATCCAAACAGCAGCAGGCTGTTCTCTGCTCTTATACAGCCCCTGCATCTAAGCAAGTACCCATTGCCAGGTCTGCACATGGATCCCTCCAGGGGCTCCATAAAGGAGCTGAGCAGTGAGATTCACAGCCCTCTACCGCAGCGGGAAGCGAAGGGGTGGATCATCACTCCCAGAGCAGTGATTTTTTTTTTTTTGGGTGATCCCAATCTGCCTATTTCTCTAGCGTTCCTTTGGCGGTAGATCTCTGTACACACTCCCACCCCTCTGCAGTGCACCACACGTTTTCTCCTGCTACACAGACCAGTAGTTCCCAACCTTTTTTTTTTTTTTTTAACCATGGAGCTGGCTGTCTCCCTCCCGGGGCTCTCCGGCCCCCCGGCTTTAACCTGAGAAGCTCAGCTGTGACCCCAGAAGCCACTCGCCCAGGTGGACAGACAGGGCTCCGAACAGAGGGTTTGTGCCACAACCCCACAAGCAACCTGCCACAGCCTGGGAACCTCTGCATTAGACCATTTTCCCTCCCCAAGAGGGCCTTACACTGACCGGCGCTCAGCTGGGTACTAGGACCTCTCCCAGTCTAACAAGGGAACCTATTCATGCTTCTTCTGCCCTCTTCCCCACACCCACTTCCAAGCCAGTTTTTGTCCGCCTACTTGCCTTAACAGGGCAAGAGATCCCCTCCAGCTGCGGGTAGAGTCGGAGAGAAAATACAGAATGAAATGGGCCCAAAGGAGCCCCTGTAGCAGGGGCTTCTGCAAGAGGCTACAATGAATCTGTGCTGTCCCAGGGGGAGGCAGGTCACAGACACTGCCCAGCTTCTTCCAGGCATTTCCAACCTTGGGGAGGGGAGGGGAAGTATCCATGCAGGGCCCAGGATACAGCCCTGCTGTAGGGGGGGTATGCTTGGGGAAGGTGTTTCCAGTCATCCCATAGTCAGTTATGGGCATGCATGGAGTACTTGACTCTTCTATCCGCCAGCAGAGGGCTATTGAGCTGCTTGGGGAGAGGGGCCATCTTGCTCTGATTCACACTGAGTGCCAGGCTGGGAGGTCTGGTGCCAGGCCAGCTCCCCAGCACTGCTTGCCTTGGGCATCTCATTGTTGGCCCTCCTTGCCCTCTTTCTCCATGTTTTCCCTCTTCTCCTTTGTGTGTGTGCTTGATTTTGTTTTATTTTGTTTCCTTCAGCTTCCGCCCACTGCTCCCAGTCTCCTACGTTCAGTCAGAGCTGGCCTTCGAGTCAGAGGAAGAGTGCCAGCTCTTTTTGGCCCCTCTGTCCCTTGCGTACGCAGGCGCCGACACCACCAAGATTGACTGCAAGCAGAGCTTAGCGGTCCTGTCCAACTTCTAAACCTCCCCTGGCATGTGACCCCCGTCAGTTAAATCAAGCCCAAGGGGAGCACATGGCAGCTCTGGAGGGGCCAGGCTCTGGTAGCCTCCGAGTGCCGGCACAGAGGAGCTGCTCCCTGCACTCCCCAACCCCCCACCCTCATGCACCTCTGACGCATAGACAGAAGAGGGTAAGATGGCCAGCCGACAGACAGCACGTCCCTCCACGGTGTGAAGAGCAGGAGGGCAGGGGCATGTGCAATGTTAATGCTTTTCCTTTGGTCTCTTGCCAGCAGATGACTTCTGCAGAAGGGAATGGGGTGTTGTGGTGGGGAGGGGAGTGCCTTGGATGGCGGTCACAAGGAGAGGCCTTCCTAGACATTCTCCGGGGCTGGGCAGGGCCATGCCATCTGTACCCAGCGAAACACATGCACATGTCTGGCTCCCGGATCTCGGTGCATGAGAAGAAGCAGGTAGCTCCTTCCCAGCTGGGGCAGCGCACTCCTGGAGAGATCAGACTCGACCTCCGGAGGGAAAGGAAATCCAGAGGCTGCCTAGAGGGGACCACACAGCCCCACCCTGAACTCAGCTTCCGGCTTCCTTTGAGCACCCCTCAGGAGCAAGGAGCCGATACTTTCTAGAGCCGAGCCCTCAGGAAACCTCCCAGGGTTATTGCCCTGAACTCTCTCTCCCCTCCGTTCCCCTTTTCATGGCCAAGGAAACGACTCCCTCTTGAACAGAGCTGACCTGATGATTTTTGGAGACCCCCATTTCTCTGTATATATTTGTTCAGGATTCTGTACAGGAACCTTTTTCTTTGATGCTGTAAATAAGGAGAGAAAATTGATTGTATTTTGTAAAGTACCTATTTTCTACTTCCTTTTTTTTTTTTTTAAGGATCAACTTTAGCAGGGCAGGCGGGGGGGGGGGTTGGTGAGTACTTTTGAAGGGGGGGGGGGGGGGGGGGGGGTTTGTTTTGTTTTGGGTTTTTTTGCTGTTGAAACCATTTGGGGGGAATTTTAAAGAGCAAATGACTTATTTTGAGTCGTAGATGCACTTTGAGCCGAAACTAACACTGTCTCAGTTTTCTCTCTCTCTCTCTCTTTCTCCCTCCTGCCTTGGAGCTTTTTGTCCAGCCTTGGAAAGAAAGCCAAAAATCTGTATACAAGAGGCACATCTGGGCAAAAAACAAAGCAACCTGCAGAAACCAGCAGCAGAGAAGGCAAAAATATAAAATCACCCCACGAAAAAGGTTGAGCTGCCATCCCTTCCACAACCCCCTCACCAGAGACTCTTGTTCAGAGACTTAAATCAAATCGTATCAGGGATCCACCACAGCAGAGAGAAAAAGCAAAGGCAGGGGTGATGCAAGCCACAGCAAGATGCTACAGGAGAAAGGCTACAGCTGCTGCTGCCATCTCCCTGGGATTGACCCAAGCCAAGCCTCCGCTCACGTCTAAGTGTTTCACCTTTTTTTCTGTGTTCCTGGAGGGGGGCTTTTTAGTTCATTTGTTTTATTTTGATTTTTTTTTTAATTATGATTTTGGTTTTGCTGCTCAGTTGTTTAATTTTTATTTATTTATTCCCTCCCCCCACTCCCCCCTCTGTTTCTTTACAGGTAACTTGGTAACAACCCGTCCCCTCCCCCAACCTTGTCTCCTGTTTGTCCTTTTTTATTTTTATTATTTTCCTTTCTTTTATCTTTAGTTTCTTTAGTATTCTGCTCCCCTCCCTCTCCCCTTCTCTTTTGAAAATATGTAACTTGTTGATGTGCACAAGTAGCTGGATTTCAAATGCTCTTTTTTTTTCCTTTCCAGAAATTTTTTCTTCCCCCTTTTTGAGGGTGATTTTTTTTTTCCTCAACTTACAAATAAAAAAAGACTCTAGGGGGAAAAAAAAGGGTTTCTCACTACATTTATTGTCTCTGCAGTATGGTTCAGGGGCTACCCATGGAATAAGGGTTGGTATCCCACCTCTGCCTCAGACTTCTTGCAGTTAGCTTTTACACAATCAACCAGCACCTTGAAAGGACTTGTAGGATGTGACTTCAGTCTGGTGTTACTGGAATAAGCACCCTCTGCTTCTTGGTCCTGGCACACCAGGGAGGTATAGACTACCTGTGCCTCAGTTTCCTCATCCAGTAGCAGCATCACTGTCCTTTCTCAGCCTCTTCAGAAACAAACACCCTTGAGCTTGCGAATTGTAGGAAGCCTCAGATGCACCTAAGGGACAATCCTAAAGTCCTACCCCCACCAGCTGTGGTGTGGGCAGACAAATTCAGTGCTTCCTGGGGTTTTTTTAGCTGTGACCGGGTGGAGAAGTGGGCTGGGGTGGGTCAGAGGAGGGGGGTTGGAGCCAGGACTCCTAGGTCTTTTCCCATTTGTGGGTAGAGTTGAAATCTGGTCAAGGTACTGGCTGGGAAAGACAGGTGTACAGTTAGCTTGGGGCCAGGCTTTGGCCCTGCAGGGTGGCTATCCCAAATTGGTGCCCCCTGGACAAGGCTGAAGTTGCCCCTTTGTCCTCTATTTACTGGCCAAGGCCAAGCTACAGCAGGAGGGGGCTGGAGAGCCTGCGGCATATCATAGCCTCCTTCAACTTAGATGGCAAGAGCCCTAAGTTGAGGAGATTCAGTTAACTTTCCTGTTTCTGGTAGGCTGGGGAGGAGGACAGCACATGGGTCAGTGGAACCCAAGTGTTCTGGTGCACCATTGTGAAAAGCCAAACCTGCAAGCTGGAAATGGAGACTGCAGGGCTCTGGGCTGGTGATTCAAAACAGCAGCATGGGTGGAGGGGAGCGGAACCACTTGTCGTGAGTCTGGAAAGAACAAAAGCTAGGAGTGCAGTGAAACAGGTCTGGATCCCTGCCAGAGCTGGGACAAAACCCAGGGGTCCTAGCTGGGGGCAAGGGTTCTGGTTCAGAGCTGGTTGAGTTGCAGAGCCCCAGATCCAGGAGGGGATGAGCTCCACAGGACTGGGAGGAGGGCAGGGGCTGCCCCTGGGTCCTCAGTACAGATCCAGCTCCAAGACACTGGTGTAGAACCCATCAGTCCGTCTCCCTGGCCCCACTTGGCACAGGCACAGCGCTTCCACTCCCTGGCCCCCCAGCTCCCTATGGCTGAGCACCCCTAGCAGCTCTGTGGGCAGGCTCAGGCTCGGTTCTGCCTGGGGTGGTATCTTGGCCACGGTGACATGGAAGCAGGGGTGCCCCTGGGGTCGGATCACCGTCACCCCCTTGCGTCTGAACGCCTGCTCCAGGGCCTGAGCCAGGGCTCCCAGCTCAGGGGAGGGCTCAGGAGCAGCACAGAGCACACGGGAGCTGAAGGCAGCCAGGCCCTGGAAGTGCAGCACAGGGGCAGGAGGCAGGAGGCGCCGGTGCTCAGCCTGGAGCTCCTGAAGGGCAACAATAGCCGCATTGATCTCGGAGGGGGTGTCCAGCCGCAGCAGGCACAATGTGAGGTGGAGGCTGCCCAAAGGCACGCAGAACCCCGCCAAGGCCGGGCAGCGGCAGGACAGGGTCTCCTGCACCTGTCCCATGGCTCCACAGAGCTCTGGGCTGGTGACACGGACAGCTACAAAGTGGCTGGGGCGCAGTCTCCGGTGGGCTGGTGGGCTGCTGTATGGGTCCAGGAGGCCATCTTCATCCTCCTCCTCCTCATGGCTCTCCAAAGCTCTCCTCACAGCCATGACCCACACCTCCATCCTTCCCATCTGAGGCATGGTTCTCATCCACAGCTGAGTCAGGGTCCCTTGCCCCTGCTCCCATTCCCGAGCCTATCTGCTGGGCCTCAGCCACCTCCTCCATCACCTCCAGGATGGTGCACCTGCTCCCGGTGGAGCCAAAGATGTCATCGGCACGGGTAGCCCTGTCCCACACCATGCGGCCACAGTACTTGAAGTATCGGATGCGGTGCTGGGGCACGGCCAGCACCCCAGGCCCAGCTGACACCAGGTCCTTCCAGGAGAAGGCTGTGAAGGGTTCCTCCAGGACACCCAGGAAGCGGTCGAGGTAGCCCACAGAGAAGCTGCTGGGGTCCAGCAGGGGGTCCCAGAGGATGCGGGAGATGACGTCTTCAGCTGTCTTCATGGGGGGCTTCTTGCTGGGGGCTGAGGGCTGTGGTGGGGGCTGGGGGGAGTCAGCTGGCTGGCTGGGGTGGGGGTTCCT